AATGACATTGACCTACTTACAAGGTCACAGGGAAAAATATGTCAAGCAACTTCTGAAGAATCAAAAAGCGTAGAATCTTGTAATAATATTTTGCTGGTAGTTTCAACAGATGGAGCCAACAAAGTTTGCGAGGGAAATATTTTTAGTGCAATATAATATTTAATGAGAATATTTTGCTATGACTGCTTAAATATTCAGGTGAGCGATACAGGCCCTCTTGGGCCTCTTGTTTTTTTAAATCTGCACCAAACAGCATTAGATTTTTGCATAAAATAGAGTTATTCCCAGTGCAAAACCTGTCTGATCATAAATGACTCCTGCTCACAGAAGAAACTTAAAGAACTTTATCGAAAGCAAACAGGATGATGTTAAGGTAAAGTGCATGGTGTGTATTTGTTTTGAAGTGGATGACCGCTGGTCGAGGGATTGTCCACTGTGAGATGCCCCACGGCACCGAGGAGGTGCATGGCCTACAACTGTGGGTTAATCTAGCCAGCAAGGACAAGATGATTGAGCCAGCCTATCAGGAACTCCTGGACAAAGACATTCCACGGGTCACTAAGGACAATACCACTGTCAAGGTCATCGCTGGGGAATCCCAGGGTGTTGAGGTCAGTTTGTGTGATAGTAGTGGGTACAATATCCTGCTATTTATATTTACACATGAAAGAAGAAACTGTTTTCCCCACTATAATGTAGGTCTGCGACTGTACTTGTTTGTATCTGGTCAAATCCTTACCAACAGTTTGACATGCATTGAAATTTTTGAAATTGCAAATGTACTCAGACAAATCCAGATTTTTTCTGTTGTGATGAATTTGCAGTTTCCAGATTGTTGGGTATCCCTTGTTTCTTTACTACGTGGGTGTAATACTGTTTTGCTGTTATATGAAAGTTGCTGATCTACCAGTTTGTGGAAAATGGAAAATAAAACTGCCACAAAAATGGCCTAGATTCATTCAAAGCCTATAAATTATTTAACACCAGGGTTTTCTGTAGGGAGATTCTTAAACATTTTGTCGACAATGATTAGAAGGAGTGGGAATGGGAAAAGTGCTGTATTGTGTGGTCTGTGAGTCATTAGTAATCAATAAGGAAGGTTCAGTTCTTTACTGAACGAAGAATATGATGGTTAAGTCAGTTTTACTAAATCTCATCCCCTTCACTGTTTAATGGGGCCGCGGTGGTCAAGTAGTTAAGGCGTCCGACATTCTGCTACCACTAGCCTTCCACCACTGGGTCGCGGGTTCGAAGCCTACGTGGGGCAGTGGCCAGGTACATGTACTGGCCATAGGTCGGTGTTTGTTCTGTGGGAACTCTGGCTTTCCTCCACCACCAAACCACCATAGCTGTTAATAGGATGTAAAAAACATACAAACCAAATTCACTGTTTCAAATTGTTAGAAGAAATGTCACGGCCACTAGATTGTGAACGTAAGAAATGTCACGGCCACTAGATTGTGAACGTAAGAAATGTCACAGCCACTAGATTGTGAACGTAAGAAATTTCACGGCCACTAGATTGTGAACGTAAGAAATGTCACGGCCACTAGATTGTGAACGTAACTCTTTTTGTTTTAGTCACCAATGCTGACCAGGACACCAACAATATATTTAGACTTCAAGATGCAGAAAGACGGCAAACTGGTTCAGCCAATCAAGAAGGGCTGGAATACTTTTGTTTATATACTTAGCGGTAAAGCCACGTTTGGTAAGTGTCGGCTACATTTTACATTTAAAGTCTGAAATTCTGCCTGGGCTCAACCTAACATACACTTAAACATTAACTATTAAAACAGGCTGGTAACCTCAACATTTTATTTGTTAAATCATAGCTCAACTCTCCTTAGGAGGGAGACTCCATCACTTTGACCAATCTCCCTCGAAACTCCCTCATTCAAGTCCAAACTCACACGAACTCAAAAACTACATCCTGTGGCCAAATGAACTCCTGGTTACTGCAGGGTGTGTGTAATAATCATAACAAGTGTGTCTGAATCAAATGAATGCTCTTTGGAGTTATTTTGATACATAAAAGGTGAGAGATAAATTGAGCAAAGCAATTTCAGTCACATTTCATGCATTTTGTCCCTCATTGGAAATGTGGAATGAGGGAGATCTCCCTCACTGGGGGTTTCAGAGATTGACACCTACTTTGTATGTTGTATTATCTAAATCTCATGAAAAAATATTGAAACCGTTGTTTGCATGTTAAGGCAAGGATATTTCAGACATATGACCGGTAATGTTTTTAGGCTCCACAACAGTATTGTTACTGTGCTTTGAAGACTTGGTAATAAAGACTGGATTCTATGTATGTGGTATATGAATACCACTAATTCTACTAATACACGTCTGCTGTAAGAATGTTAATGCAAGGGGTTTAAATTTGGAAATTAACACTCCCCAAAATAAAGTATATTGAAAGTTTATTGCACTTGCACAAAAAGATGAAAAAAAATATTAATATATTTGCCGAATATGATAGGTATAAAGTTGAAGGTAAATGACCAAACAATGATGTACTATTGGTTTACCAAGTAATATAAATAAAAAACACTTAAGGATCCCCATAACACTGCGTAACACTGCAAAAATCTGTAACTATGAAAGGGAAAATTTCCTTCCCCCATGATGATAAATCATTTCTAAAAAGAAATTTTGCTGATCTTTTATGAACAATGTGAAGATGGATACATATAAAATGTAGGGCCTGTTCAAAAACAAAATCAACAACAGTGTTCAGTATGAAAACTTTCAGGGGAATCTTTTAGAATTTTTGCCTGAAATTGGACAGTGATCCCTAATCTGTTCAAATAGTTGGTTTCCACTATAATTTTGTACGGAAAAAATATTTTGCCAACACAAAATACAATAATCTTGTAACCCAAATACAACAGAAGCTTGTTAAATTATTAGATAATCCTGAAATCACACTTTCTGACTGTATGGTAATAGGGACTAAAGGATTGAGCAGGAAAATTATTTTGTCCAGACTCCTGCATTTGTAAGAGTTTTACTGTATTTACAAACATTATACTTACATTTTCAATTGTTTCTTTTTTATGTAGGACCTGAAGGGAAACAGACCGAGGGATGCCCACATCATGCCCTCATTCTCAGTGAGGAGGGCGACAACTTAGTCGCTGTAAACAAGGTAAATCTCGACCCTGTAAAACTAAACTGGTTCGTGATCAGAGTTGTGCGAGTATTTGTGCTGTCTTACTTTTAAATTTTCATATTTATTAGTTCATCTGTCATGACGTGCCAGGTAAAGATATGTCACAAATTTTAACTTGTGCTATTAAATTTGTTTAAGCGAATGTCCTTGGCCTATACTTTCAAGGTTGCATGGGTGTACACCAAAAAATGCTTAAAACTTTGAACAACTTAACCCAACTGTTCATTCGAAGTTGTATTAAAAGTCAAATTGTGTTTAATGATTTATTTTAATACAAACAAAATAATTACTGATTTGGTTGATCCTGTGCGCATGCATGCTTTGATCCCGTCCAGAACACTCATTTGAATATAATGTTGGTGCTATAGATCTGTCATCTCTCTTCATTGTCACATATACAACATTTGCATTTTAAGTTCCACTAGACAGATTTAAACCAATAATTCCTCTCACGACTTGTACCAAGTGTTACTTGATGCACCATCAGAAATCTATATTGGACGTGACCTCCTGTGATTGGCCGGGATATTTTCACCTTAACTTCAACAAGAAGTGATAAAAATGTACCTGCAATAAATTTTGTCACTTAGGATTTGTTTCAGGTTGATTTGATGCTATGTGGTGCAGCCCTGTGTATTTATTTTTTTATTTTTCAGGGACCAGAGGAATGTCATTTTGTGTTAATAGGTGGTCAACCTTTAAATGAACCAGTTGCTACCCACGGTAAGTGTCACTGTAAACGAGAAATAAAGACTGATCTATTATATATATATATAGGATCTTACATGAGTTTCCATTTCATATGAGATTTATGAAAAGAATCTAAGAAGTTTTAAATTAAGCGAGCCTCTAGATCTGGCAAGCTAAAATGAAAAATCTGTGACCAAGTTTCATAAATTCATATGATATGAAATGAAAACAAGTGTAAGATCCTTTTTATCACATAATCAAGATTTGAAGAAGGTAACAATCACAACTGCATGAGGATAGGTTTCTTCAATTTATTAAGTACCTGTCGACCGGTTTCCCCCTTTGGTAGGCTTCTTCAGGAAAAAAAAAAAAAATAACCCCTAAATTACTAAAAATGAGGGGCTCTATTCTATTAATAACATATTTGGCATTATGACGTCATGCCCCGTACGTTTATAACAAGCGAGATAACTCTTACGCAGTTCTTATCAAGTATTCTCATATTTATCCATGTCCATGTCATCTCGGTAAATCCTTCACGGTCAGTGTTTAATTCTTTTATACACATCTACAGTTACATATTGTTCTGTTTCTGCTTAACGCTTATTCTAGTTCGTCTAGACAAAGTGTCTCCCCTGGCTGGACCTTGAAAATGAATGGATGACCATAGCTGTTAATCCTTTCACCCCTATGTTACTTTAGTAGACTCTACTATACCATGCATTTATCAGGATGAGTCCATTATGGTCTACATTAATGGTGAAATGGTTAATAGGTCTTAAATCACAAACAAACAAACAAACTATAGGACCAATGATGTTTTCACAATAAATATTGATATTCATGTCTTGATTTATTTTTAGGTCCATTTGTGATGAATACTGAAGATGAGATTCAGCAAGCCATTCTTGACTACAAGCTGAAACAAAAAGGATTCGAGATCGCTAAAACTTGGAAGTCGGACTATCTAACAAATCGGTGACGTTTCGTCATTTGATAGTGTGTAATGTTTAGAAAGGATTATTACCGTGATATGTACGTGGAATGTGCTTCGGAATGCTGTACTGGGTTGGATGATATAATGTTGACTTATATGAGTGTGCTACAAGGTAATTAACCCTTTCACCCCTATGTAACTTTAGTAAACTCTTCCATGCATTGATAGGGATGAGTCTATTATGGTCTACAGTGGTGAAAGGGTTAACCTTCATATGGGTCAATGTCACAGTTACAAGTAATTAACTATCAAGTGTAATGCTTCAATGACGTCTTTTTGAGGTTCCAGAAATTTAGTTTTTTGGTATATGTCACGTGTCAAAACGTAGATAATATTCTGAGAAATTTATAGCGTTTCAATTTTTATATGGCCATCAAAAATGGAGCATATTATATGTTATTGGACATTATTGTAGAATATAGTTTTTGAGTAAGACAAAGAGTGAATTTAAAATTCAGAAATATTGTTGCTCTGCAAATTACACTCTGAAACTGAATCGGAGACCTACACAGACACATATACCCTAAGTAGTCAGATAGATATGCTCTGGTCAGTCGCTTTCAAACCAGTTTCAACCAAAACGGGAAACACCACGGTTTCCGCTGCTTGAATATTAATTTCATGATGAAAATTATACAGCATCCTGAGCCTCCTTTTTAACATCAAGTGATAGCTAAAGGAGAAGACGAGGGGCCCACAGAATCAACTAAATTCACACCAGCAAAAATCTATATATAAACACTCGTTCTTCCCCAGGACTATTGTAAATTGGAATTCCCTACCAAGTTATCTAGCACAGGAGCAAAACCTAAACTCATTAGGTGTGCCCTTGCTAGTTTCAACTTACCCTAAATTATTTCCTGTTTTTATCTTATAGTGAAAAATACCAAAACACTTTGTTTTTTAATGTCGCCTCCTAGGACAATATGCACTCAAACCTTTGAGTCTGATCCTTAATATGGAAAAAGAAGCAGAAAATGTGTAAAATAACACAGAGGTAATTCAAAGCTGTATACGGTATTTGTCACCCTACATTTATGTAATTAACATTCAATTGTGACTTTGACCCATGTATTGAAATGCGTAAGTGTAGCTTTTGTAAATCTGTCTCTGTGACCCCGCGTTGGAGCTTAGAAGGCACCGTATACAAGGTATAATATAATGTTGTATAATTATCAATGTTTTTAAGTGCAAATTGGTAGGTTTATGAATTCTATTTATAGCAATGTATAAAGAAAACTGTCGTAGCCCTCCATTGTTTGTGGGGACACCCCATCTCTGTGTGTGGTGCCATGATCCTTTAATACCTACCCTGAATGAACCAGCAAGGGCCTATTTGTTTATGCCGAACATTCGGTTTTTCTGTTTTAAAATGCAACATTTTCGGGTATATGCAGGTCTTGCAATGCTTTGTCAAGACTCATCTGAAAACATTATCAGATTAATTAGTCCGACTTTACTTTAAAAACAAACAACCTTTAGGATCGCGATTAACGAAAGCGGCCCTGTTTACAGATTACACAGGTTCCGTTTTTTGTAGATCATTGGAACTAAACTGACATTTATACTTTACAATGGTACAAACTTTATGATGGTGTAATTTTGTAAGATTTCTATCGTTGGAAATAATTTGGCTAGTGAACCATTTTATTGACTTGTATTCTGCTTCAGCAGGCTGTAGTATCTAGATTTCATAAGTGATGATATCATGATTTTTGTACTTATGTGTATGTTCACCAGGCAGTAGTTTTTTTCAAATGATCCACAACTTGCCAAAGTCAGAAATAGCATTATTTTTTGTTTTCCTTTTCCGACTTAGTCAAAGATTAGGTAATACACACAGCAGCTTTAGTGTATAGGTGGGTGTTTATCCTTACTCTTGCCAAAATATAAAACCTTGTATTTGAAGGATGCTGTATCAATCCTTTAGATTTATTTTGTACTTAGCTCAGTCTGTTGGTCTCTTTTGAACTAATTATCCCTGTAGTGGTCGTAGCCTACTTTTGAAGTAAGCACCCTGTATAGTAGCTGTAGTCTACTCAAACTTTTGAAGTAAGCACCCTGTGTAGTGGCTGTTGTCTACTTAAACTTTTGAAGTAAGCACCCTGTATAGTAGCTGTAGTCTACTCAAACTTTCGAAGTAAGCACCCTGTGTAGTGGCTGTAGTCTACTCAAACTTTTGAAGTAAGCACCATGTGAAGTGACTGAAGTCTACTCAAACTTTTGAAGTAAGCACCCTGTATAGTAGCTGTAGTCTACTCAAACTTTCGAAATAAGCACCCTGTGTAGTGGCTGTAGTCTACTCAATTTTTTGAAGTAAGCACCCTGTATAGTAGCTGTAGTCTACTCAAACTTTCGAAATAAGCACCCTGTGTAGTGGCTGTAGTCTACTCAATTTTTTGAAGTAAGCACCCTGTATAGTAGCTGTAGTCTACTCAAACTTTTGAAGTAAGTACCCTGTATAGTAGCTGTAGTCTGCTCAAACTTTTGAAGTAAGCACCCTGTGTAGTAGCTGTAGTCTACTCAAACTTTTAAGGTAAGCACCCTGTGTAGTGGCTGTAGTCTACTCAAACTTTCGAAGTAAGCACCCTGTGTAGTGGCTGTAGTCTACTCAATTTTTTGAAGTAAGCACCCTGTATAGTAGCTGTAGTCTAGTCAAACTTTTGAAGTAAGCACCCTGTGTAGTGGCTGTAGTCTACTCAAACTTTTGAAGTAAGCACCCTGTGAAGTGACTGAAGTCTTCTCAAACTTTTGAAGTAAGCACCCTGTGAAGTGACTGAAGTCTACTCAAACTTTTGAAGAAAGCACCCTGTGTAGTTTACTCACACTCTTGAAGCAAGTTTGGCCTTAACTCATTCACCCCTGAAGACACATTTGAACTCTTCTAATTCAGAGGTTGGAATAGTTCATTATGAAATTTCAGGGATGAATCAGTTTAAAGCTACCGTATAATGGGTCATTTAAGGGGGCTTAAATTTTCGAGATTTTGATCCAAACCTCGAAAATTATATTTACAAGGATTATAATGCAATGTAGACATGTGAAGTAACTTTAGTTTCATGGCGTTTAAACACGAGACGGGCACTCAGCATATACACTGTCAAATTGAGCCTTATTGAACATGCAACCACAAGTAAGTGTAATTTGTTAACAAATCTTCAGAAAAAGTATTAGATGTGCGATATAACCTAATTTTAAACATCACTTCTCTTTATGTAAATGAATCGTCACAACCACGTACGCGCTATTCCATGACGCCATTACGGTTATGAAGTTTATCATCACGACTCATTATTTTCACGATCTCTTTATTGACCCGAAAGTATCGTCACCGCAGAAATATCCTGCTATATGTATAATTCTGTGTATCGGCCGTAGCCTACTCGCACTTTTGAAGTAAGTATATGGCCGTGTAGGTCTACAGGCATTAGGTTTGTAAAACTTCACCCTTTTATCCCTATGTAACTTTGATAAACTCTACCGTGCATTGATATGGATAGGTCCATTATGGTCTGCAGTGGTGAAATAGGGTTAATAACACTTTTATATAAAATCATGTTTTGTACAAGTTGACAGTTAAGTGTATGTTTCTCTCTGTATTTTTACTTTTGTCACCTCTTGAACACTGTGGGTGGAACAGTTGGGATTTTTTTTAAAGGGATCAATTTTTTATTGTTGATTTTTTTTCTCTACATAGAAATGTATCGGGTGGCATAAGCTATGTAATTGACAAAGTGACTACAGATATATTCAATATAGTTGTAAATGATCGGCCAATTCGATAATCAGATACAATCTACATTTTAAGAGCAACTGATGGAACAGTTTGGTTATTGTTTATTATTTTGAAAATACGTTTTGTTCAGTAATTTGAGCAAACCTTTTTATCAATAAAAGACTGAGATTATGTTTAAAATATAAAACCTGATATCAGAGTGAAGATGTGAAGAAGGATGTATGCAAAGGTTGGCTTTGTGTACCTTATAGTGACTTGAGTCTCCAATCAAAACAAGTCCCACCAAATATACCTGTAAACTTCAGTTTGAGCAATGTTTAATATTTTGTTATTAAGTTAATACATCTTTTTTGAAGACAATTTCAAAAAGCATAGCAGATGACATACATTTGTATTGTTCACATAATTGAAAATAAGGCTAATAATTAATTTTTCAAGGGAAATAACTCTGAAACAAATTACAGATGAAAAGCATGAAGTAGCATATATCCTTAAGCTTATATTGGACTACTCGGTTCAACAATCTGTATATTAAAGATATATCTATAAATTTTCATGCAAAAAATATGAATTGTTTTTGTGAAATTATATCGTTCGTTAAGGATGCTGCACCGTACAAAATACAAAAAAAGCATTTAAAAAAAAATATGCACAATCGTTTAATATTTTTAATTCCATACATTTGTACAAGTTTTACTATTACAAAATATATACCAGACAACATTAATGCATTTCCTGAATATGATATTAAAACCAACCAACTATTGCATGATATTTCATGTTCAGAGTTTGCAAAGCTTAATTGCAGTGAGAATTAATCAATTGATAACGAGGTCTGCAACTTTTATTATTATTTTTGTTATGAATTTTACAATTTTTTATTTATAAGATGTCTTTGTAATGCATTTCCCATGTCATGTTTTTTCTTTCTATTTTTAACTGCGTACATTTTTGTTTAAGCTTGTGTAGCCAGTATACAGCTACAACAAGTCGCTGTCTGTGCATAATGCTAATTATAACCGTTCATGATACTCTGAAATTCTAGGAGTCCTAGCTAGCTTTTTGTGTTTGTATAGCCCACGTTTCCTCTGGCACCGACACCAGACTATCTATGGGTGTCATAATATGCCAAGAGTGTATCCCGATATATTGGCATAGGAAGGATGTGCTCAATTTTATAATAAGTTGTTGTCAGAATGTTATCAAACTTAATCATATATAATATAATATGGATTACATAGATTTAAGATTTTTGTCAAACCAACCATCGATTACAAAATTTGAATTATTAAAAGCCTTCTTTATGCTTATTGGCATATATCTGTTAGAATTTGTAGTAATTTGCAAAGTTAAAACACCAAGCAGATACATAAAAATATGCTTTTGAAAAATATTGCAATACAGCAATATTTCATCTCTGTATTGTGGTACGATACGATATACCTGTGTATTGCGATATACCTGTTTTCCGATATATTGTGACAGCCCTATACATCTATCTGTTAAAATGTCTTAAAAGTCTTGTATCAGGGCGAGAGGAATCTCCGGCTAATGTTTGTGTTGCCATTAGGCTGAATATAATGTGTATTTCAGGTTTCTAGTGTCCAAACCCTTTGTAAAGTCTTCATCCTTGATATTGTTCATTGTAACGATATGCTTTTCTGGAAACTTGGTTTGGTTTGTTAGTGTTTTACGTCCTATTAATAGCTATGATCATTTAAGGACGTGCCAGGTTTTGGTGGTGGAGAAAGCCGGAGTTCCCAGAGAAAAAAACACCGACCTACGGTAAGTTCCTGGTGACTGCCCCACGTAGGTCTTGAACCAGCGACCCAGTGTTGGAGGGCTAGTGGTAGCAGAATATCAGACGCCTTAACCACTTGGCAATCGCGGCCCCTTTCTGGAAACAAATGTTTTCGTTTTTACATTTTGTCTAATCACAGTGTACCTACCTTTACCGGATTTGACATTTTGAAAGAAAACCTGAGACATGGCATTGTTTCATCGGCTATTTTTTTAATTTTTTTAGAGTTTAGAGTTTGTCACATGTAATGATAGTTGCTAGTATATTCCTACCCGTGCCAGCCCCCCTATTGTTTTACTGGTGTAATGCCATGACGCCTGTTGTATGCGAGGACATGTACTTATAAGTCGCAGCCTCAGAAGGACTTGTAACCTTTATATGTTACAGGATTAACTATTATTGTTGTGTTGCTAAATAAAATATACAGTTAAATGTAGCTTGTGTTTATAGTTGTATTTTAGAGACCATATCATATGGAGCAGAAGGGCAAAGCCTTATGTTTGGTAACTTGAGAATCTTCCCCCATCAGGTTGAGATTCCCCTATCTCAGCCCCAAGGGGGTGATCATGAGGGATTCTCTTACTAGTCTTTTGAATTCCAAGGTTAGGACCATAACTTCCACGGTCTATTTTTAGTAACAGTGACCTTGACCTTAGAATTTTTTCTTAACCCTTATTACACATCACCATTTAACAGTGAATCATCAAAATTAATCAATATTTGTTAATTTGAATAAGAAAAGTAATCATTAAACAAAAGGCATTTGAAATAGATCTGCAAGTATCTTGCACAGTAAAATGATTTAGTATTAAAGGAATAAACTTAATGTAACTTGAAGGGGGGGGGGGGGGGGCTTGGTGAATAACCCCATACCCCCACTTTGATTGACCAGGAATTGGTGGGAGCGAGGGGCATGTGGATTGGAAGAATCAAGTGAAGAGTTTATATGCTGCAAGTCACACGTTGCGTAAGTCAGAGGTCACAGTGACCTACATATGGTATGCGACACACTGCCTTCCATGCATGTACCCACAAACCAAGATTCATAACCGTAGGTGAAATAGTACGGGAGATATGCTCCGGAAACCTTATGGACGACATTATGTAGGTCTGAGGTAACAGTGACCTACATTTGGTATGCGACACACTGCCTTCCATGCATGTACCCATAATAAACCAAGATTCATAACCGTAGGTGAAATAGTATGGAAGATATGCTCCAAAAACCTTCTGGCGACATTATGTAGGTCAGAGGTCACGAGATTCATAACCGTATGTGAAATAAGTACGGGAGATATGCTCCGGAAACCTTTCGGATGGACGGACGGACGAACCATACACTATATACCGCCGACTTCGTCGAAGCGGAAGTATAATAACCTATACATATTTGTATGCAAAACAAATGTTTCTAAAGATATTAAGTCATGATCACAATGAAGCATAAAACATGTAATGAAACCCTTGATACACATGGACGCTTGAATAGTACCACAGATTAATTAACACATACATTTACATGTACAGACAATTGCAAGTGAATGAAATAAGGCAACTATAGCTAGTTGCAAGTTTGCTCATGAAATGCGTCAACATATCTTGAATTGAATTTTCACAAAATGCTTGTTAATGCAAATAATTGTGGTAAATAGCTGCTACATGTTAATCAGGGAGAGTGAATTGAAATTGAGGATACATACAACTTCATAAAATACGGTAATGTTAGTTGGTAAATATCAAACATATTTACCTGGTGGTCTGGGGTAGTACGCCTTCGACATTGCATGGTCACAGATCGGCTGTACCTACATGTAAATGTCCATCCTGCAAATACAAATAACATATATGCATGATTATCTCCCTTAAAATGAAAAATAAAAATTTGAACAGTTGGTGATTACACTTGAAAAAGACTTGAATCGTGAAATCAGATTAAACTGGCATTATAAATCTTTTTATTTTTTATTTTTTGTAATGATCATTAACTTTTTTAATTGATTTTTTTTTTAAATTTATATAGTGTATATCAAAAACATTTGACTAAAATCAGTGTTTCTTTTATGTTATCTATTAGTTTAATAACTAGTGACAAACAAAAGAGGTGAGTTCACTTTGTAGAACTTTAAAACAGCTATTTATCTGGTAAACAGTGATGAAGTCTCTTCCACATGATCACCGATCAATTTTATTAACTAGAATCAAGAACCTTAAGATTATTTTCTAGAAATGATTACAGTTTTCAAAAGGATCAATATCCACAAGGTTAAGTGGGATTGATATGTACACTAATATATGCATACCAAGAACCGCTGGCGGACTTCCCATGCAGTTCTCATGGACGATGCTGTAAAGAAGAGTGAAGAATTACAAATACATTTTGTCAGTTCATGGGGCCTGTGACTTTGGAATTGGAAAATTTGTGTTGCAGTTAACCAAACTTATGGGAGTGTTTCCCAAATTTTACTGATAATTGACTTTTTTTTAAAAGTCTGATCTTAAAGATTAAGTATCCTTATTTATGAGAAAGATTTTTCATTTAAGATGTTAGATATAAGATGAAATTTATTTATTTATTAATGATTTAAATTGAGAAATTTTAAAGAGATTCTTTGGAAAAAATGCAGTGTTATCTATTAAAACAGCCTCTGAAAAACAAGAAGTGTTATACTAGAGCAGAGGGGGAACAAAAATCAGAATTGCAAAGGGCTATAACTCTAGTTAAAGTGGATGCAGGATCCTGAATTTAATATCCTTGACCTCATGCTGATTTAATATATAACTTTGGGAGGAAAATGCATGTTGAGGCAAAGTAAAATCCTACACCTGTAGTATAAGGAGTTGTGGAATGTTTACCAAATGTTATGACTATAATTATAAAGACTCTATGACCAAGTATTAAACAAAGCGTAGCTGAATCGAGTCATTTCGGTAGATATATAACAACTATTGTACATAGGCTTACAGCGTAGCCGAATCAACATCGATTTTCGTGGACAACTCGTACACATTTTACACCTTTGTGTGCATACGCTTCACTGGCCATTTGTCTGATGAAGGTGACAGTGTACATATCGTACTATAGTCATCGAAACGTCACACAGAAAATCTTATTGGTTGTGTAAAAAGAACTTTTCATAACCCAACTGAACAAGTTTTGTTTTAATGTGAATTGCATTCAAACAACATTTCTGCCTTTATCGAAGATTTTTTATCCATTTTATCCATTTAAGCGAATTTAAGTAAATTTATTTCCCTTTCCTGCTATGATCGATCAATGATCCATGGTCGTTGATTGAGATTTCAAAAGAAAATTTGTGATTTTCACCAAATGTATCTTTCTTTATGATGCTCAACATTAGGGGGACACTTGTCACACTGAAGTTTTTATTCATGTGACGTCATAGCTTCTCGCACTAGTCCAAGTGTCTTTTGTATAAAAACAAGAGGCCCAGTATTGCTCACCTGTATCTTTTGTTACATAAAACTGACATATAGGTAACTTCAGACCGAATTCGGTAACTAGAACACAAGACTTTTTAACATCTCTTAAACAGTTCTTAAGATATTGTTGTTTGAAATTTGAAATTTGAATTTTAAATCTTTTAACCTATGTTGACCTTTGACTCCGGCTAGCACTTAAAGTTAACGTTTGACCTCATTACTGTAATTAAGAAAAAAAATCACACTGCTGATCTACAAAATATACCCAAGTATCATAACTCTAGCGAATGGTTTTAAGATATTGTTGTTTGAAGTTTTTAACAAATTTGACCCCTGTGACTTTATAATTAGGTCAAGGTCATTTAATGAGGAAACTTTATTGCATTCCATCCCAGGTACCTACTGGTTAAATATCATGACCCTGGGCCTTGTATGGAATTTGAGAAAAAAATTGTTAAAGCTCTTAACCCATGTTCACCGTTGAACCCCGACTAGCACTTCAATTTGACCTTTGACCTTAATGCTGTTATACAAAAAAAACGATTTACACAACACAGCAGATCTACATAACATACCAAAGTATTATGACTTTAGTCCAAATGGTTCTTAGGATATTGTTGTTTGAAGTTTTTTACATACGTGACCCCTGTGACCTTGAAACTAGGTCAATGTCATTTTAATGAGGAAACTTTACAGCACTTAACCCCAGGTACCTAGCTACTGGCCATATATCATGACCCTAGGTCCCACAGTTCTTCAGAAAAAGTCGTTCAAAAGAAAAAAGTTGACGGGCCAGGTGAGCTAAAAATCGGTTGTACATTTATGGCGTCTTATAATTACAAAAGCTATATATACGTCTATATAGGCCTAATATTAATTATATAATAGATCATATACTTTGATGTGCACGATAATTGGTCACACCACGGACTTAGATAGCATCTATCTAATTCCGTGTTCACACACACAAAAAAAGTGATAATTCGCCAAAAGATGCATAAAAAGGCAATCAATATCAGAAACCATAGATATAATGTATAGGTCAGTATCAATTTAACAACGTGATCGACGCATATTTTGCCATAATGTAGAAAATATATTAAACTTACCCTATAATGTCAGTCCATGAGAGTTGAAAGCACGGGAAGTTGTAACGCGAAGCTCGAGCTTGTTTTATGTGCATGTGACCAAGTGAATTTTCATTGGTCTAAAGGTTAGCACGAACTCATCAGTTTTCCATTAAATTCAATGACGCCGAGAACGAGGGGTTTTCGTCTGCTGGATAACCGAAATACGCGGTAGTGAAGCGGACGTAAAACATATCAATCAATCAATCAATCATTGAACGAACATGTACCTCTAGAGATCTGCTGATGGACATTTTATATGGGATTATTTAGTGAACAAACACCTAAATCAGTGTCTTTTCTACTAGAAATCACAGGCGGACCTGATAATTTTGTTACACCTCATGATATTTGGACCTAAACTAAGGTGTTTACAGTAATTTTTCACGTTTTAGGGGTTTAGATCAATTTTCGGTAAAAACGCCACCCCTAATAATGGTGGTAACACGCGTACGTATATGTATATGGGCTAGAAATACCAACCGTTTTAGTCTACAACCTGTATGAACCCCAGCATGAATTCCGTGGCACTCGAGCGTCACAAAACCATTCTTTTTCATTTTTGACAAATTATTTGCAAGAAACCAATAGTAAATATATTGCATTTAACAGATATAACCCAGGGGTATAAAAAATAATATTATAACAAATGTGTGTCGAGAGAAGAACGGTACAAGTGTAAATAAACGTTCTGTGTAATTTTTGTGTGTTTTAGAAATATATCTTAATACATTTCTCAGTGTACTTTATGTGAATTCGAAACCTTTGTTATTTTATGATATGAAAACTAGCGGAGCACGAGACGACTTCTTAACTCACATGATAGTGGAAGGCCGTCGCGGGAAATCTGGTACGACATGCATGCTTTATGTAAAATGCTTTAAAATGCTATACGTTAGATGTGAAATGCGTAATGTGTAATTCTTCATGCATGCGACAAGCGAAATTAACAGGTAATTAATTTTAATTTATCTTCATAATAGTCTCGTGAAACGCAATTATTTGAAAACCGTACTTTCAGAACTTGCCATATTTGAACAATCTATTTTTTTCCAAAGTAGATCACGGAATTAGAATAGTTATCTAAGTCCGTGAGTAGATACAGTGGAAGTCTGTCTAGTTCTCTGTCTAATTCAATGTAACGCAAATGTATCAGATGTAACTAGATAGCCTAAATGGTGATTCCGTGATTTCTGTAAAAAGCATGTTCAAAGCAATTATCAATATTACCTATTTCGCAAGACCACGGAATTAATCTAAGTCCGTGGCAAGACGTACGCGTATCTTTAGTTTGTTTGCCTTTCACAAGACGCATGGACTGGAGCATTTAGTTGTCGCATGAGCAACACACATAAAGCATTTCACATACAGCATTAGCGTGAAGCATTTTACATAATTATCACGAAATAGTTTATTACGAGGTAACGTTATGGTGAAATTTGATGATAATGTGCCATAATACATGCACCTGCAAAATGATATCGTATATGATGTTTCAAAATATATCTCATAGTAGGTATGGTATCATAAATAGTTATGATGTATCTTTAATGATATGGTATATATATATATTTTTTTTTTTTTTTTTTTTTTTTTTTTTTTTTTTTTATCTTTTATGCCTATCTGATCCACGTTCGAAGCTTTCGAATTTCGCGCCATTTAACATCTGAATCTAGTGTAAAACGAAAGTAGAAACAAAAATGTTGTTATTAACATCATAGGGGTGTAAGTTTTAAATTAGCCCGCACATTATATTCATACATTACGTCTCTTCCAAATAACATATAGCAATCGTGGAATTGTTAACAATATACACAGCGTGCATGCATATGATTCAGCATATTTTTACATGACCGTTACATATAATGACCTTATACCGAACGAGAATATACTTCCGGGTCAACATTAATTACTCTTGCTACTCAGTCTCAGGTAAGTGATGCACGTTAGGGCGATTTAGTGGTATTTTTTTATCGGATTAATGGCAAGACATGAATTGAGAACGCTGTTTGTTGTGTAAGAAAACTGTCAAGTGAAGTCATATTGGTTTTGGTGTTAAACAGGTCAACCGTACAGTTAGCCTAATTATGTCACCGGCTGGGAGGTCAGATTGGATGTGAACATACGGATCGTAATGACATCATGAAAAATAAAGCTGAGTCGAGAAACTAGAACGGTCTATTGTTGACAGGTGAGTATATATACTCCTGTTGCAGTGCAGTTAATGCAAACTTTACATGTCCAGTAGTAGAACGTCTGATAAACCTAAACCCAGAGGAATAAATGGTACTTTAATCAATCCATGAAGGTGAGTATCATATATTTTTTCATTTATTTTACATGCTTCTGTGCCAGATACATGATCTGAGTCGACTTTAAGCTGTGGGTATTTCTCTTAATTTATCACAACAATTTTTAGCGAACTGGGAAGCTGGGGGTCGCTGTCCCCGGTGAAAGCAAATGATTATCTTCTCTATCTATTACAAATTGTGTACAAGTCCTTAGGCCTCCCTGTGGTGACAGTGAGCTAGAACCTGAGAAAAGGGATCTTTGAGAATGTCAGTATTTCACTGAAACAGCCAAGAATTTTGGTTTGATCCCCAGGGGTGGCGGAACAAAGAGTGTGATGTCTGATGGGGTTAGTTGTTATCCCTCTGATGTCGCAGTGGTTTGCCCCTGCATACTTATAGCCAACTCTCCCTATTTAGGAGGGAGACCCCATGATTTCAGACCCTAACATTGAGCAATTTGTACCAGTGAATTTGCTAAACTATTCCTATTTTCTAAGTTCTGATGATTTCATTTGAAATATGATATAGTAGGACGAGTAAAAGTAATAAAGATAGTGCCGTCGCTGGGGCTCGAACCAGCGACCCTTGGCTCTCCAGCCTAATGCTCTACCGCTGAGCTAAAGGGAAATTCCCTACAGCTGACTCTTGTAAGGCAGCCTAATCATTGCACTTCTGTTACACTATTCCCCCTTTTTCAATCAGCAACCCAGGTTCTTTGACTCCCCGCCAAGGGTTCTCCTACCTTGAACGGGGAGGCCCCCCCGGGTCAACGGCACCAATTTGTAGTAGGAAGAGGAATAGTGATAAAGATAGTACCGTCTCATTTGTTTATCATTGTTTAATTTTGTGTTTGTTCATTTTCAGACTTCATTTGAATGTTGTGTGGTGTTCTGAGGATAAGAACACAAAATTCACTACTTATCTTGACTGCTGTGTTAGCAATTCTCAGGACCTTCCACGCTGATGTACCGGTCAAGAGTTGTAACTTGACCAGTCAATATAGATCCCTTGTTCCTGCACTGACTCAAACTGACCAGTACTGTTCTGTTATTGCTACGATGACATCCAAGTCGGTGGTCAAATCTGTCCTTAGCGTGGAGCAAGATGAGGGTGTGGGTGCCCGTGTGCGCAGGAGTGTCGGGCGTGCAGAGGTCAGTCAAAATTCATGTTCATTAGAAACACAGTTCATTGGGACTACCAGAAATCATTATAATTAAAGGGTGAAGTAAACATTACAGTCTTTAAGAGATGAAGGGTTTTGATAATTGACACAAATTCTTAAATCATCCACTCAAATTCTGTGTGTCACATTCAGTCTTTTAATTCATTAAATGATATATTTGTTCGCAGTTACGGAATCTTGATCCATTCCTGATGTTGGATGAGTTCAAAGACAAACAGCCTGGAGGATTTCCAGATCATCCCCATAGAGGATTCGAAACTGTAAGATATCCATACCAGGGGTAGTCCTGGAGGAAAGCAATAAAGACCAATGGACCCCCCCACCCCCCCAAAAAAAATGAATTTGGCCTGTTATGTTTTCTTTTCTCTTGAATTTTTAATAGAATGGCCCCTGTAATTTTGTATATTGACAAAACAAATCTAAAAATGGCCCATTGCTCTCAGCTACAAGGATTTTACATGTATACAACATACCACATCTAACCATGTAAGCCATTCTAAGTGCCCTGTGCTATTTTCATATGAAGAACACTCATTGTTGCCACGGTCAGTTGATGAGAGCTCTTGTTTACGTTGCATTCTTCCTGCTCCGTTTCATTTCCACCTGTACGTTACTTACAGGTAACCTACATCCTGAAGGGCGCCATCAGACATGAAGACTTCTGTGGCCATGCAGGTACAATTAACGAAGGTGACCTACAGGTGAGTCTATAGCCATGACATGTAGCCTGACTATAAATGTAGACCTGATAGGTGTCGTTACTGCGTAAGATATAATGGATCTTACTTGAGTTTCTTTTGAATACAGTATATATTTCGTGAGTATGGCAGAATACCAATGTTATACTCATTAGTACGAAGCAGGTGGGAAAATTATTAGTACATCCAGCTTCTCATTTCCGTGTGTGTAAGATAGAGCTGCCCAGGGTAAAAAAAGGAATAAGGAAATTTCTATCCTACACACCATTTCACGTGACATGACGTCACAATAGCTCAAAATTTGGAAATTCTTAGATGCCACGATGCGGAAAAGGTGACGTGATGAAATTAAAACCTTTTACATTATAGTTACCGTATACTTTAGAAACATGTTATTCATTTTTCTGCACAAACTCTGTTTGCTAATATGGGGTTTGCTAAATCTGTCTGACAGATTCGTTTTCGTCTAGAAAAATATTTTTAAAATGTTGGCAAGTCCAAACACATTTTCATGGTTTCTGAGTTTATATTGGTGGTTGGAATGAGAGAAAAATACCCTTTCAGGCCAAAGTGTGTATGAAAGGGAAATTCCACCCTCTGGATCTTCAAATTTGGCATATTTACGGTTAATAACTTTGACCTTGGCCTGTTTTGATAAAGACTGACTGTTTTTCCTGTTTTAGTGGATGACCGCCGGTCGAGGTATTGTCCACTGTGAGATGCCGTGGGGTGACGGAATTACCCATGGCCTCCAGCTGTGGGTCAATCTGTCTGCTAAAAACAAAATGATCAAGCCGGCCTACCAAGAATTACTGGACAAGGACATTCCTCGGACCACCAAGGATGGGGTCACTGTCAAGGTCATCGCTGGAGAAGCTTTTGGCATTAAGGTATAAGATTTGGTATTTGTTTTATCCCGGTGTGTTGGTCAACATGTTAAAGTCCAATATTTTAACTTAATTAAATTGTTTAATGTGTTGTATTGTTTTAGTTTTAACTGATAACCAAATCGTAATAAAATATTTTGGCCTTTGATATTCCGGCTTTGCATATTGTAGAGTTATCTTCTCTTGTGAGCAGGTATTGATTGTTACGTCATTGGTTTGTGAGAGTAACGTCAACAATTTTTGAGAAAACGACGTAATTTTTTCACGCAAACCAATGACGTAACAATCAATACCTGCTCACAAGAGAAGATAACTCTGCAATTTGCAAAGATGGAAAAAGTATTAGACTAATGATTAGAATCATTGGTGTGATGTAACACAATCAACACAAACCTTTAAACTCAATCACCCCTGACATTTTATAATGAACTATTCCAACCTTTGAATTGGAAGAGTTCAAATGTGTCTTCAGGGGTGAATGAATTGATGTTATTTGTCATAATTCTATAATTCATGTAAGTTTCTAGTGATATTTCAGTTTTCCCATGACATCAGAACATTAACATATCCTAGTTTTTGTCCTAGATTTCTGAAGGGTCAATGTTTTGTGCTAGAGGAAATTTCCCTTTAGCTTAACTAGTAGAACAGCGGACTGGGAAGCTGGAGGGCGCTGGTTTTATCCCCGGTGTAAGCACACTACTCGCTTTCCCATTTCAGTAGTGAAATATTTCTTTTTTAATATCCTTTTTTTAGCATTAAGTATTTAATTTGTTCTTGTCTGTAGTCTCCTGTGTACACACGTACCCCAACTATGTACCTGGATTTCAAAATGGATCCTGGCACGAAACTAGCCCAACCCATACCAAAGGGGTTCACATCATTTCTCTACATCTTACAAGGAACTGGACACTTTGGTAAGTCTGTAAAAATTAAACTGTTGTTAATATTTTCCTTAACATAATTCAATTCCTACATAATCAAGGATATCTTGTGTCCAAAATACTGTTAACTGGGAAAGTTAGTTCTAAGCCTCAATAAATGATTTTTACATCGTAATAGTTTAGATCTGTCCAGTGTTTAAAACCCTTTCACCACTGTAGACCATAATGGCCTCATCCAGATCTATGCATGGTAGAGTCTTCTAAAGTTGCATAGGGGTGAAAGGGTAAGTCTATAGTGGTAATAAAATGTATGGTTTTAAAATGTGAACCAGGCATAATTCCTGTCTAGAGTTCAGCTCCCGGGATCAGGCATGGTCTTAAAATAATTTCATTATTTATCTTATGGTGGAACAAGAATTGGTTTAATCAAATTCCGATGTGTAGTAGCTAGTAGAGATACAATTTGTCAATTGCCATGATCTTTGTCTTCTTACCTCCCTTGTTTTTTGCTCTCTTAGAGTACAAGATACTCCAATTTTTCCGCGGATGAAGAATGGTGTAGAATGTTTCATTGATCAGTTCTTTATGATTATAAGCCTTTATAGGGACAAGGTTTATAAATTATTGGAAAGTTTATAAGATGTCAGTATACCCTGACATTTCCTTCAGATTCCTTTTAAGGTTGTCTGATGAAGGTGACAGTGTACATATCGTACTTAGTCATCGAAATGTCACATAGAAACTCTTATTGGTTGTGTAAAAAGAACTTTTCATAATACCCTGACTTTTTATTCTGTAGGGGACAGTGCACACCAGAAGGAGGTCGACACCCATACTACCGCAGTGCTGAGTAAGGAGGGGGACCAATTAGAAGCCTACAATAAGGTAGTAATGGGAATCTTTTCCATTTTCAAAATTAATTATCGGTGGCGCATTACCGATTGATTATTGATTATACGTATACCAGGTAATTGATTTTATAGATAAACTTTAGATAAATTTAAGTTGTGTGCTTTTCTTGTCGAAAAATCTAGTAACTTTTGAAAGAGTATTTTAATTAAGGAAACATCCAGTTTTAAAGCCAACCTACATTGTATTTCCAAATTCATTTTCAATGCAACTTATATATTTATCAGACCCATATTTTATTACCAGAAAAACAATTTTGTGGTGATAATCATCCTAGTTAAAGTTAAAAGGCTAGAATTACAAGTTTTTTTTAAGAAATATTTTTAAGGTAAAACTTTTAAAACATTGTTGGTTTCTAGAGAAGAGAGGGCCGGCATTAGACAGTGTTGGCATACAAGAGGGGGGAAATGGCAAGGCTAATAGTCAGGGATCCCGATTAGAAAGGGCTGGATGAGATAGGTTATACCCTGTAATACATTGGTAATGGACCCAACAAGTGTATATATGTGTATTTAGCAGAATTAACTATATAGACTTTTAACGTCCTTGACTTTTGTCATGTTTCAGGGTAAAGAGATGCTCCACTTTGTTTTGATAGGAGGGGAGCCACTGAACGAACCAATAGTTCAACATGGTGAGAACTTAATCTTTGTAAATTTAAAAAAACAAAATGTTTGCAATTTTTGGTTTTCTAACAATTGAAAGATTGGAGAACAAATGAAGTCTAAAATTAATCAAAAATTTTGGAATTGGAAGGACACATTGTATTGTCTTTACTATCGGACAAAGGTAATAACATGAAATATATTTCAATTCTATATCAAAATTTTACTTAATCCATAAACAATGTACGTTTTAAATGGGTCGAAATGTTTCAAGACAGACTGCAGGTTCCAATCGTCAAGTTATATAACTGGGTGAGGCGCTCAGTCATAGCTTGACAAATTTAGGGACCATGTTTAATGCAAACATTATTTTTATAAAAAGTAAAACTTTGATAAACTGATGAACCTTATTAAATATTTTTTTTAATACTGTGCAAATGGCCTGGGTTTTAATTACCGTAAAACTTGATTCTAAGCAATCTTATATTCCAAGGGTTATTTTGGCATTACAAAAGTGTTCGGCACTCAAGGAATAGGTATATATAAAGTAATTACGAAGAAGAAATAAAGACCTTGAAAAAATAATGGTAATAAGAGAGGAGGTTAATGATACATGGGGCAATGTATCAAGGTTTAAGTGTAAATTTCCCTCAAATCCTAACTGTTGGGAAACTTTGACGAAAAAATGGTTTTGAAATCATATCTGTCTTTATTAGCAAAAAAATATTGAACTTGTTAATTGGCTGTGAAACAATGCGAAACAACAAAAAAATGTGAAAACCCCCTACAAAAAAAATGCTCAGTTTTCCTGACCAGGTCCTGACCGCAACAAATGCCTTACTTTCAATATGTAATCAATGTTATAGTTCTTGTCAAGTTTTGCAAATATATTTCTTCAAGTCTAGACCTGCTTTCTTCAAAACTTTCAAATGAACTATAGAAATGAGAATTTTGACCCCATCTCTGACCAACATGTTTTAGGTCCATTTGTGATGAATACCAACCAACAAATACAGCAGGCTATCGATGATTACCGAAACGGTAAAAACGGATTTGACGGGGTCAGAACTTGGCAGTCGGAATACGTGAAGAAACAGAGAAGCCAGCACTAACATACATGTAGGTCATGTTTGTTATCAGATTTATCACTTTAGCTACTGTAGCGGAACTGAGCTTGGTTGATCATCGGTGTACATGTACCTACCTCAATTGGTAGAACGTCCGTCTAGAGGTCAGAGGGTCCCAGGTTTGAACCCCAGTCTGGCTGTTCATTTTTTCTCTCTTCTAATACATTTGGTGCCGTGACTTGAAGACACACGAGACCCTATACCATCTTCCGTGTGTATGTTTCGTTGGGCACCAAATGTAGTAGGAGCGAAAACAAGAGGCCCAGAGGGCCTGTATCGCTCACCTGGATACCAAAGCAATTATGGCAAAATATTCTCCGAATGAGATCAAGGGAATATGCTAGACCCCAAGGCCAATCCTTGAAGCATATCTGTATTAGATTCTTCATGCCCAGCAATTTTATGTATGGTTATGGGGTGGGGATCTCAACTGTTTCCAAGCTTTGACTCAGAAACTAGGTCCCTAGGGTTGTGGCCAGACCCCAGGATCAATTCTAATATCGTGACTGCCTTTGTCTCTTTTTGCCTAGCATTTGTATATAAAGTTTTGGGGTGGGGATCTCAACCATTTCAAAGTTATGACCCAGGGGTTAAGTCTCCAAGGGTGGGGCGGTCCCCAAGGCCATCCTGGAAACATAAGTGCAATCATCTCTTTATACTCAGTAATTGTATATACCATTATAGGGTGGGGCTCTCAACTGTTTCCAAGCTGTGACTAACAAACTAGGTCCCTAAGGGTTCGGTCAGACCCCAGGGTCTATTCTGATATCATGACTGCATTCGTCTTTTTATGCCCAGCATCTGTATATATAGTTTTGGGGTGGGGATCTCAACAATTTTAAAGTTATGGCCCAGGGACTATGTCTCCAAGGGTGGGGCAAGACCCTAGAGCCATCCTGGAAGCAAATGTGCATTCTTCTCTTTATACTCAGCAATTGTATACCACGGTTATATGGTGAGGATCTCAACCATTTCCAAGTAATAATCTTTTTTTGGCCCAACCCCTTAGCCCGGGGAGTCAGCCCCACCATTTGTACAATTTTAAATCCCTGCCTCCCATGAATGCTTCCGACCAAATATGATCAATATCCATGGCATAGTTCTTCAGTAGAAGTCGTTTATAGCAATATAGCAAAATTGACCCCTTTTTGGCCCCGCCCTCAGCCCCACCATTTGTATAATTTTGAATCCTCACCACCTAGGGATGCTTCCTGTCAAATATGGTTGATATCCACCTCTAAGTTCCAGAGAAGAAGTCGCATAAAGCAATATTGCAAAATTGACCCCTTTTTGCCAAGTACGCCTCTCAGCCCCCTGGGGGGTCAGCTCCATCATTTGTACAATTTTGAATCCCTGACACCTAGGGATGCCTCCAGTCAAATATGGTTGATATCGACTTCTTAGTTCAAGAGAAGTCGATTAAAGCAATATAGCCACATTGACTCCTTTTGGCCCTGCCCCTCAGCCCCCTGGGGGGTCAGCCCAACCATTTGTACAATTTTGAATCTCCACCACCTAGGGATGCTTTCAGTCAAATTTAGTTGAATTCCAATCAGTGGTTAAGAAGAAGAAGTCGTTTAAAGAAATTGTTGACATACGGACGGACGGACGCAACGGTATGGCATAAGCTCACCTTAGTCCTACGGACCAGTTGAGCTAAAAATGCACGTCCAAACCAGGATTCGAAACTGGTACCCTCCAAACTCTTAACTGGCGCTCTACCAATTGAGGTACCTGGTCGCCGATGATCGACCTAGTCCAGATCTGCTACAGTTGTACAAACTGCATTGAACAAAACTTGAAATAGTGCTGAATTGCACTGTGAAATGTAACACAGCAGTCGCCAGGTACTTGACGTAGGTCGGTGTTTTTTCCTCGGGGAACTCCGGCTTTCCCCCAACACCAAAACCTGGCACGTTCTTAAATGACCATAGCTGTAAATAGGACTTAAAACACAAACAAACTAAATCAAACTAAAGTAACAATGCTTGCCAGTTTCACAAGATAGATAAGACCTGAACTTAGAACTATGTAGGTCAGGGCACCACTGTTATCATGGGATATTTTTGCACTACAGAAGTTTTCACTGGTTTTTCGTGTTGAAATAATGTAAAGGAATGCACAAACATATTGATGCAATATACAGTGAAACTTCGATAAGTTGAACTTCGAAGAAAATCAAATTTCTCATTGTGTGGAAAAACAGCAAGATCCGGAATCTTTTCCTTATACACAATACTACTGATATTCTATTTATGAATTATACTTTGATGAGTTGAATTTCTTTTCTGTTTTGAACAACAATCAAGGTCCTATCGTTTGGAAAACATTGAAGATTACAATTACCTGTACAAGAATGTTAAAAAGTCCTGCAATCATTTTACCACCTGAATATGTAAATTACAGTTTATAAATACAAATGTACATGAAAGATATTTTTCTAATTGCATTAAATCAAATGTTTATAGATTTCAAATTGAACTTTTTGCCTTTGAACAGGCAAACTGGTGTATAAATAAATGGAACTTTTTTTTAATTTCTTTAAATCCAATGTTTTCAGATTTCAATTCAATTTTTTGCCTTTTTTTTGTGTTCCGTCCTTTACAATCAAATAGTCTTATGCAGTTTATACTGGATCTCGAAGATGTTAGAAATTCAACAAATGATAGTAACTTGAAGGCTCCATGTTTTGAATTTTTCTTTAGGGTTCTGCAAAGTTCAAAACATCAAAGTAAACATATATTGTAATGAAAATTTCTATTACCATATTTAAATAAGTTTCAATATGAGGTTCTATTTGTTCTATACAGGACTGTTTGTCATGAACACACAGGAGGAAATCAATCAGGCATTGAAGGATTATCAACGTGAGCAGAACGGGTTCGAAAATGCCTTGACCTGGAACTCGTTTGTTGTCACAGAAGATCCAATTGGAGTCTGACCTAAACCAAGGGGGATAACTCCCACTGCAACACAAGAAACTTATAAAGCAAGGGGGATAACTCCTATTGCGACACAAAAAACTTATAAAGCAAGGGAGATAACCCCTACTGCAACACAAAAAGACTTTAAAGCAGATATAATTTATCAAGACAAGTTTCTGTTGTAAGTTTTGTTATTTAAAAGATGGATTTATACATAACCTATTTTATGAAGATTTCTTTTTTACTTTTTACATTGTTCTTTTTGTTTTTGTCTTTGTTATTGGTGTATGTTTACTTTAAATGACTAAACAACCTGAAGTACTTTGCAATGCATATGTCTTAGGCCACTTTCATTTTAATAATCCAAACGGTTGAAACGGTTGGACCAGAGTTGTTCTTTTATGAAACAAGGTCGGACCTAGTAATCTGATGCTGCTTTCAGGCGAGCCTTGACATTATGTCTTGGAAGGCCAGCATAAACTTTTGCAGGTCCGCTAAGATTTATACCCGAAAATGTTACTTTTAAAAACAGGTAAACCGTTTTTTCCCCATAAAATCCAGGCCTTTAGTTACAGCTTCATACATTGTACCCATGAGTTTTCCTTTTTTTTTTTATATGTATTTATCTGCAGTTGCAATTGGAAATTGGTAATACATTATAATGTATTAAATGCCCCCTCCATATCCTTTAAGTTTATTCCATGTGATTTCCTCTCTCATATTATATATATATATATTATATCCCTTTTTGTTGTCATATCTTTTGTTGTGTTTACTTTATTCATTCTTCTGAATATCAAATTTAAAGGACAATACAAGGTAATCCTGTTTCAATAGGGCACTCAAAATCCTATATATCATTTACCTTACTCAGGATTATAAGTCTGGGATATTTAACTTAATTGTTACCTTTTCTCAGACGGGTACATTTATTAACATGCTGGTAAAAGTAATGATCTCTCTCGACAGCTCTATGAGAGTTTCTTTGCTTATCTCCCTTTGATGACCATGTATTCAAATCGATATATTTTTGAAGATTGAAGTCTGTGACTTTTGATAAATATGAAATTATTGATATATAATATAAGAAGCACAGGATCTTGCCCGTATGCCTAGACTGCTAATCAAATATATACATTTGTATATGACATTTCTCAATTTCTTAATTGTTACCTGAACTGCGAAGTTGCCATGGTGGCCAAGTGGTTAAGGCGTCTGGCATTCTGCTACCAATAGCCCTCCACCACTAGGTCACAGGTTCGAGACCTACGTAGGGCAGTCACCAGGTACTGGCCTTAGGTCGGTGGTTTTTCTCAGGGAACTCCGGCTTTCGTCCACCACCGAAACCTGGCACGTCCTTAAATGACCATAGCTGTTAATATGACGTTAACCACAAACAAACCAAATCTTAACTGCGAAAAAATGTAGACTAGCGAATTTCTTGACTACAGGAAGCCTAGCTAGATACTGTAAATAAACTGGAATCTAGAGTTAGCTGCTCCATCTTTTGTATTCATTTTGTTTACCTTCTTTGATGGAGTGCTATAGTGAATACTGTTAGTATCATTTGTAGATTTCTACTGCAATCCACTTACGAACCATGACAACCTTGAGGACGTTGGTTCTCTTTCGCTCGGTTTCGAGACCCTATTTTCACATATTTCATGTATTTCGTGATGAGTGTTGTGTTGATTGCAATATTTCAAGTATCATGTTAAAAAACCATTAATATACAACATAAGGCATCCACTTACTGTACAATGAAATGTTGAATTGTTGTTCTTCACAAACGTAAGATTATGAAATTTAGTTTGCGGCATAATAAAGTAATTTACATTACAGAAAGTATGTCACATTTATTTAGATACGTGACAGTTTTGATGGATTGAAATACATTTTTGTTTCTAATATTTAATTTATTGATGACACATGACTGCGATGGATTTTGTATTGACCGTAAATAAATATATTTTGAAAGTTTATGATAACAGTTTGTGTTTTTTAATTATAAGTTCATTTATAAGATATTGACACCAGTTGTTGTAATAACTGACCATAAAAGGACTTATTTGGAGTGAATCCAACTTTACTTGTTTTTTGTTTTTGATATTGCAAACAAAATAATCAACATTTAATCTTATTTTATTACACTTTTAAAATCCTCTTTCAGAATGCAAATAGAATGAAAATTCCTTCTGAAAAAGTCTTGTATCTACGACCAATTAGGTACACACCCTCAGATATAATACATGTACAGACCAAACCGTATGAAGAGGCCATCAAGGGAGGTCTTGGCCACTCATATGGTCTCTTAACAGAGGATTTATATAGTAAACAGCTTTGAAGGCTTTTAAAAAGCTTGTTTATTTAAAAAGGATAGTTTAGTAAAGTTGGTTTCTCAAGCAGATTTAACTATAAGGGAAATAGTTGTTTGGACAAGTTACAGATTATCAATTTTCATCTGAAATGACTTGTATTTGTGAGCTGTAAGGATTGTGAAAATAGGTGGGATATTTCACTTGCATTCTCAAAACTAATTACCAAGTATTAAGTTGAATAATCAGTAGAAGGCTGCAATGAATTTCTACAAATGTTAGTTAACCCTTTCACCACTGTAGACCATAATGGACCCCTCCATATCAATGCATGGCAGAGTCTACTAAAGTTACATAGGGGTGAAAGGGTTAATCAGATATCCTGGATTCACCAAATGCTCTGCTGTTCCATTTTGTAAAAGATTTTTTGGCTCAATTACCTAAAATAAAAATTTGTAGATTCATTTCATAATTGCATATTCAATGATTTTTAAAGTTCAGTGAACGAATTCATTGATAAGTATGTAACAGACAACAAAACAAGGCAATTGATATTATATTTTTTGTTTTATTTTTCTTCTTTACATTTTAAATAGAAAATTTATGGTGTTTAAAGATAGTTTTTGATAAGTTTACTAGTACGAGATGAATGACATATTAACACAGGACAGCTAACTCTCAGTCACACCATACACACGGGGACACGCGTCCCCACCTCCAAAACACAGTTGCATATATATAATATATATATAGATAACCTAACATGCAGCCAATATGGTAGCCAGTACAAACACAAAAATCCTGCTACAATTCTCACGGCAACTGCTGCCACAATCGTCATGGCAGCAGCCAGTATGTAAATATAGAACGGCAGCCACAATTCTTACGCAGCAGCCACTACGACTACTGCCACAATTTTCAAATCTGGACGATGACTGCAGCCACAATTGTCACGGCAGCAGCCACTACATACATGATGACTGCAGCCACAATTGTTATGGCAGCAGCCACTACAGACAGGATGATTGCAGCCACAATTCTCACAGCGGCATATACACTAAGGTATATCTAAAAAAAAAAATTGCAATCACTTAAAAAAATATGGAAAAAAACCCACCTAAATATTTTGATATTCCTCATTTAATTGCATTATTTTTGAATTTTATATAATTTTCATTCAATTTTACTTATATTCAGTTTGATACTATAAACATTGGTATTGAAAATTGTAACGATTAATATGAACTTGCTCCGATATATATATCAGAGTATTTCTATATCAGTTGCACAGCATTCGACTTATCATTTGTGAAATAATAAACACAACAGAAATAATCCTCAAAAAGAAAAGATATCTCAACACTGTTCTTAAAATAACGCAAAAAAACATTCAAAGAAGAATAGCCCTAAATTATTGTCGGATTTAATGATCGATTTCTTCTGTCAGTTCACCGATTAAGATCCAATAATTTATTAGGAACACTATACCCAATGTATCCAGTCCGTAGTATATTATGGCACCATTTATAAATAGAAACTCAACTGACTACCTCTGATAAAATTAAGGAAGAAATAACATCCTAAACTGAAACTGTTAACGTACGAATTAAAAATATCCATCTACTTTCACACCTCATAGGGGGTTCACCATTCTCTGAGAGTTATCTCCCTTCTTGAAAATCAAAATCTCCCTTTACCCCCCATTTAAAAAAAAATCAAATAAAAATATAGCCTTTAATTGCCATTCACAACATATATAGAGGTATAATACGTTTTCTTTACCCTTCCGTTATCAGCTTTGTTGCTAGGAGACAATATATGTATACTACTGTTACGATGGGGATATCTTGTGTGTTACTTGGTTGCAGGTGCTCCGTTATACAACATGTAGGTATGAATACTGCTACAATTACCAACTGGCTACCCCTTGCTCCCAAGATGAAATGACTGCACCTGAATTTTCCAATGTTGATTACTTAAAAACAATATTTTACTTCTCCAAATGATCATTAATAAATTTTCATTTTTTTTTTCATTTTTTTTTTCAATTTTGCTGATAGTCTGTGGGAAACTATCTGTAAATATTAAAGGAATTCAGAAACATGTTCATTGGTCAGTTATTTCTGCAACAGTTTCAAAATAAATATTTTATAAGTTATTTGTTTATTTTTAATATGTCCTAACTAGTGTTTGCTTGATAGCCAAAATCATTTTCCAGAATCCACTTATTCATGAGCATTTTTTGTAAGCGCTTTAACTAAAAATGTAAAATGGCCTAGTCCATTAATTATTGGGAACAGGGGTAGCAGGAAGTACAACCATTGATGAAAACATGCATATCTATAAATATCATTTGTCTTTAAATTCACATTCTAATGAGCTGCGTATGAAACTAAAACTTATTGCATACTAGAAACACTTCCCACAACAGTTAAAGATGGCTATCAATGAACACATTTCACCTGTACCCCGCCCCCCACAACACCAGAGAGAGTGATGGTACTATTATATAGTACTATAGTCTCTCAACTTTGATTTCAAAGTAGTATCATAGATCTGAATAAAAATTAAATAAAAAACTAAAATAACTTTGTAAAACATAATAACAGCACTACATTATGATAATTGTTACTATTGATACGCATCAGTGACTCTACTGATACGCTTGGCTGATTCTGCTGATACGCTTCTTTGATTCTACAGATTTGCTTCAGTGATTCCACTGATTCGCTTCAGTAATTCCACTGATACGCTTCTGTGATTCTGCTGTTTCTCTTCAGGGATTTTACATGACATACTTATCATGATTATTTTCTTCATAGTTACTGCAGAATCCAAAGTCACCAGAACATAAACTGTAAATAAACACTTTTAAGTTGATAAATAAATGATTTAGAACTGTCACAATTGATTGTTATATAACCAAAATCATTAGTCTTTGCAAAAATAACCAAAAACACAAATTGTTTGACCCGCAAACTGACTAAGATTTTGTTCAACTCGTTCACCCCTGAAATTTCATAATGAACTATACCAACCTTTGAATTGGAGGAGTTCAAATGTGTCTTCAGGGGTGAATGAGTTAATTAAAACAAATCTGGTGTTTTTCCTGGCGCCTTACGAATCAACCATTTTCATGGGTAATATGGGTCCTGATTTCTCTCCATTCAGAAGGAAACAAGTTAAATGGTACAATGATGGTATATATGATGTGTTTTAGGAAAAATATCTTGTAAAAAAAAAGATGTTTGACTTTTCATGTCGAATATCATAAAAAAGTGTCATTTCCAAGACCATAATTATAACATAGAAATATACACAATACTGTATTAATTATATTTATTGTACATTTCTTGTATTTTTGAGGACGAAGACAAATAATTATATTCGAGGCTATGAACAGTGACACATTTTGCTATTTTTTATACCGTAATACTTGGTAATTTTCCAAATTTGTTCTTGCATCACAAAATGGTAAAGCACAAATCAGAAAGTCTAGCACACGGACAAAAAAACGGAAGATTTACAATCTGACATACATACTGTCCAAAGATACGATACATGCATACATGTTATACGTAAGAGTCGTACATGTAAACAACCACCACAGCACAATATTGCTATGGAAACAGATTTGTCATCTATTTACACAATTTCCATGACATCATTTGGGACTAGTTTCATGTTCAGCAAAACACTATAAAGAAAAAGGCTGGTGAATTCAGCCGACAAATGAACACCTACAATGTATATAGTACCGAACTAAAAACTTATAACGAACTCTCACTGCCGCGCAGTTGCTCTTTTTCGTGGGTAATAAAATGCGCAAATTTTGATACATTTTTTCATGAAGACTGAGAAATCTCAGTCTATTGAAAATGTACACACTTTTTTGGGATTTTGCAAGTAAATCCACAAAACTTGCGAAATTAAACCGGTCGCGAAACAGGGCAACTAGACGGTATGTTGTTTGGCACAATGAAAATGAGATATTTATAATAATGCAGATTGACTTGCGAGCGAATAGTTATACGAGTGATATGTCACAGATTACATTTATAGATCAATGAAGGTGTCATGGACGATAACAGTACATATTGCAGAACAGCGTCGCTTACACCTTGGTATAATATATCATAGTGTCGCCTAATAATTTACTTTATTTCATTTATTTTATTTCGAAGACTGCAGATTGAGAATGAAATGCATGTTATGGATGAAAAATTCATAATTTAAATAACATTGCAAATTATGACATAATATATAACATATTGATTGTTGAGAATCAAAGTCTACATTTCAGACAGACAACAAATCCAGTACATTTGTTGAACAGAAATTGTGTAACTATTTTCCTGTATGGAATCGAATCTGCCTGTAAATAGACTGTTAATAAATGACAGTTGTGCTTTAAAAATACTCCTTAATGTTTTAAGGTCATTTTCTGCCTTAAATTCAAATCATAATGAAGTATTAATAATTTAAGAAAAAATGATTAAAATATTTCAAATTTTTAATGAAATATTAAATAGATAAATAATGCTGTTTTATGAAATGAAAAAAAGTAATAACATTGACTAAACTAGTATTACCAAGATATTGCAATATTTTCAATTAGCAAATTTGGCATGCCACTCTGCTATCACGAGACATATGCAGCACACATTTCAAGTTCTCATAATACAGATGATGAAGATAAAATAGTTTGTTTGAGATTTTAAATAAAAACATCACAATGGGGTAAAATATTGGCGCTGACACAAAAGTAGTCGCAATGTATGATCAATAATGTTAGAAGGTCAAAACAAAAACGGCTGACTACATTGGAATGGCGTTGTCACAGAACCACTAGAAGTATCCTACCTCGTCTATCATATATCTTGTTTGACCAATATTTGAGTTTAGTATGATACAATATATACATTACACATTTACAAGGGGTGTCCCTGTTCTACAGGGGTCCCCCATCACAGGGCAGTAGCAAGTTAACTTGGTCTACATTTTGGTTAAACATAAAACAAATTTTGATTCTCGTATGACTAGTGTGGCAACTTGTTGCCATGACATCAGTTGGCCTTGACCTCCGTGATGTCTGCACCACGCGACATCTACTTGTTTGTAATCACACTTCAAGCTAGGCCAAATTTCAGCAGTAATTATCAGGTTTATCTCCAACAGGTTCAAGCCTTCTATTGACCGTGTTATCTGTCAATAATATTCTAGGTACCTGCATCTCTTGAATGGCATGTGATATACCATACGGCAACAATCACCAGGTTCACTTTTTAGCACGGCCAATTTACATTGTCTGAAGCCTTCTGCTAATCGTGTCTGCACTTATAGTTGAATGTAACTCTTAAAAATTTACTGGTATTTTTTTGCTTTGTCACAAGGATTGTCGACAAGTTTCAAACTTCACACAGACTGTATAGTTCAGTTAAAATAAGAATTCTTGAATCACAAATCACAATCGTCATTTTCCTCGGTCATATATTACAACACTGAGCAACATAACACTATTCCAGCGCTAGCACATCACCACGGTTCGTGCAGCACAGGTAAGCACCAAACTAAACACGATTCCGGGGATCCTCACGTGTTGTGCATGAACACATCATATACAGGTAACATTTGATTTTCTTCCTCGAAAAAAAAAAATGAAACGAAAAAACAAAACCAAGTAAAAGAATCTCGTTCAATGAAGTAAGTACTATTAGCATTGAGGGATGGGCCATTGTAAGATGGTATGATGGTCTACGTGTGCTACCTACTGCTTTTCGTAAATCTGATATTATTGCAATCGTCTGAGAGTTCGGGGAAATATTCTGGACTACGTATGTAATGCCCCTCATATCCATCGGCATAGCCGCTGGTCAGAATTTGTTGTCTCTCCATGTCTGACCACCGATACTGTGTGGTCAGTCCATTTTGCAACACCCACTTCTCCCTCTCCCACGCGTGTAACACGGCACGCTCTTTGGCATGGCCCAGAATCCTCTGGCGCTCCCTCTCAAATGTCGTCCCATACCGAATATTTATCACAGAGTCCACCCCGTGGATACGAATGTCTACCTCGGCGTGTGGACTAAGTCTAAACCGTTCACTGTGCTGTATCCTGTTCACGGTGATGTTCATGGAATTTTCATACTGCACGAACGTGCTGTGTATGTCTAGAGCTCGTAAGTCCTCCTCGGCTTTGGAGGCGTCTGTCTTTATAAAGTAGTGGATGTCTTTGCCGTGGATACTGTATCTAAGGTCTATGACCTCTGACCCATTTACCAAAACCTCGGCCAATTGTTTGGCCCATTTCGGCGTATTTGCGGCCATATGAATCACAGCTTTGCCCTTCACAAATGACAAGGTCACCTTTGGCCCAAGCATGAAGGGTCTAGGAGTTGGCTGAAGGTCAAAGTGACCAAGCAAAGGTGAAACTTTTGATTTCGGAACGGTTGTCATGGTGAGTAGACTCTCCATGTCACGAAGGAATGTACACTCGAAGGCTGACGACATGGGCAGCAGACGACGACTAACGTCATGTGCTTTTGGACGAATTTCTCCAGTGTAAGATATATCAGGTGCCAGACTCCGCAAATCGAATCCCAGCATCAGAAGCCAGTCGGTGATCGCTACAAAAGGAAGAGATGAATTAGTGATATACTTGGGGTAGGTGGTACATTAAGAAATAGTGTATTTACATTTCATGTGTTGTTTACACATTCACCCCTCAAAATTCATAATGAACTCTTCCAACCGTTGAACTGGAAGAGTTCAAATGTGTCTTCAGGGGTGAATGAGTTAATTTATAGTTTCCACACGATTTCACATCATCACGGAGGTAAAATTCTGTAAGTTGTCATAGTACAAGTGAAATCATATCTCATCTAATTAACATTCGATATGCGCTGAGATAAATACAGTGGGGAGGGACCTAGATGAAAGTTTGGTTAACACAGGAATGAATGCTTTAACTCATTCACCCCTGAAGACACATTTCAACTCTTCCAATTCAAAGGTTGGAATAGTTCATTATGAAATTTCAGGGGTGAATGAGTTAATACTACTCCAGCAATTATGAATTCATCTTAGGGAAACACCTATACCACAGAACAACATACTTTGAAAATTGAGAATTGTGATTGAAATATATTGTGTCATGTGTAAATGTTCTGTTAAAAAACAATTTACATTTTTTTTTTTTTTTTAAACCACCCAATTTGTTATGCAGCATATTGTGAATTGTAACTGGGAAGATTGTGAGATCATAGAACGCTCTCATGAACTTGCACAAGAGTTTTAATTTTGTTAAGATCACTGATTTCAAGACTGAATTATAAATATATGTACATCCTGCCTGTCATAGAGTATGTGACAAGGCTTAAGTTCACAAATAGGCAGTTTTTATAAAATACCTCATTCAAGTTTCACAAATATTTTTGTTACTAATAATTTGTCTATTTCTTACAAATGTAGGTATACAAAATTTCTATGGTCTAAATTTTTATGAAATATGAATATTGTAATATAACCAATTGCCACAATATTGACTTTGACTGAGCGAGGCCTTACCAAGCATGGGGAACTTTTTGTGACGGGTGTGGGTGTTGATTGGGTAGTGGTACTGGTAGTTGTTAGTGATCATCGGTGAGGAGGGAATCTTGTTGAGGTCTCGCAGCAGACTCGAATAATCCGGAGAAATCCAGTGTCCGTTTTCGGTATCGTAAACTCTCTTTCCGAACAGGATAAGCTGTGTCATAGGATTGTACAAACCACCTTGGAATCCGAAACAGACGTCAAAGTTGGGATTTGTGTCGGTCTCTAGTTGTCCCAGGGGGTCGTATCTACGTTGCTTGACAATGTGGCCGTTAGCGTTGAGAACAGCCAGGGGGGTTCCCATTGGATCTGTTGCGATATAGTACAGGGAGTTTTGACGCTCCAGGGCCAATAACTGCCCTTTCGAGTCATATAGATACTGCGTAAGGTCACCAGAACTTTGGTTGAAGGTGTGTGTGATCCGTTGAGGTTGCGTGACATCGCCGTAATAAAATTGATTCACATTGCCGCTCCCATCTTCCTCGATGACCAATCTACCCTGAGCATCATAGAAATAAAAGTACCGGTATTCTCCCGTTTTGAACACGGATCGCAACTGACCGTTTGAATTAAATCCGACGTGCTGGTCATGCCGTTGGACCATGAAGCCATCCTTATCGAATCGGAACCGTTTAGAGCCAGACTTTGAGATTCGGTCACCGATGTCGTACTCTAGATTTCTGGTTAGGCTATACTCCGTGATCTTGTTAATGTTTCCGTTGTTGTCGTAACCATACCGCCATGTTGGCTGGCCGTTCAGGAGCACGTCGATCACATTGCCGTTAATATCATACACGTACTGCATATTCCTGGTGGTGGCGGGCCCGATCTGGCAATTCCAGTGGTGTATGCGGTTCTCCAAGTCGTAGCCAATCTGTAGGGAGAAGCGCTCTTGTTCCCCGAACCTGTATATGACACTAGAAAGTCGTCCGTAGCTGTCGTACTCCCGGTTAAATGTCATGTTGTTTCCCGTTATCTTTTCAATGTCAAACAGAGGCCAGTTCATTGACAGAGACTTCAGAGTTCGGAGTTTACCCGTTTCCTCATCGTATGACATGTCAGAATTACTCGTCATATTTTCACGGAAGTATCCATTGATGGATTTTAGTCGGAAATTCTTGTCGTAGGTGTATGAAAATTTCACACCAAGCAGGCGTCGATCCCTAGCGAATTCTACAGTATAGTCTTTGACCAGGGAAGCTGTGTAAGTGTAGCTTTCACGACAGTCATATGGCCCGCTGAGAACCTCGGACGCCGACACCTTGGAGACTTGTGGATCGTACTCCATGTTGATTTCCGTCTCGTCGAACATGATTTTACTTAGCTGGGCAAATTTGTTGTACCGGTAGATAATTCGTCGTCTCTCACTCGGGTAGATAATTTGAAGTAGCTTTCCATTTCCATCGTATTCTTCTGTGTAGGGGAACGTTAGTTCTGGGACTCGATATAGAAATCGCTGAATCCCTGCTGACATGACTCGGGTAAAGAAATGCTCCCCGAGCCCTGGAGTTCGGACTCTTACCAAATATCCCTGAGAGTCGTACTGCATCATGTATTGTAGACCATTAGGTAAGATAATGTCTGTCGGCTGGAAACGGAAACAACAATTTATTAAAATCTTACTACACATAATGTATAAAAGGTCATTAGTCGAATCACTAGCAGGATATGTGAAGACACAGGAGGAAAAAAAATAGAATATTTCCGATGTCATGAATGGTACATGTAGAAAGATTTGATATGGCCCGATGGGTTTAAATTGTTGGTGGCCAGCTTAAAAATTAATGTATTTTTTTTTTATATTTTTTGAAATTCTTGCTCATTTTAATTTAACATTCAAGACAAAGTTTAAAACTTTCTATGGATTTTGAAGGATATTTAATTCAGCCAGCTATATTACAGTTTGTAATTTTAAGATTTTCTATGACTAGACTATGACTTGTTGATCAGGCCTTACAATAGGTATCATACTTTTTTGATTTAGTGTCCTTGGGGATTATAAATCCAATTTATGTCCAAGCAATTGGCCCAAAGCACCTCTTCCAGGAAAAACCTAACTGGCCCAATAACAAATATTCTAGCTATTACTAACTAGCTCCAGATGCTATATTGATCCCCAGAGTTGAAATTCATAACTTTACAAAACAGTGGTGCACATCTACGTGCCCAGAACTGTAAACTATAAATTTATTGGTAAGTGGTTTGAATCTTGGTAGTTGAGAAATACCTCATCTGATATTAGCAAAATTTAAGACAGAATGTTCAAAGAAAGAATTTGCGCTATCTCCCTCTTGCATAATTAAAGTTTGGTAAAGATGTGATTGGTGAAATTGTTAGTGACTTTGCCATATGTGTTGTACCAAAGAGGATGTTTAGAAAAACAAAAAAGCATTTGAAACAAATGTTTTATTCCTTTTTTTTTAAATCCATACCTTCTGGAACAAAATCAAGACTAAATGAAATTTTAGTTTCACCACTATGTTACAGATCACAACTTTTACATTATAAAATTGGGACTTGATACATATTTTTTAATATCAATATTCTTCCTTTTTTCTTTCCATTCAATTCAATTGCATTGGATTGCTTTTATTCTGATAGTTAACAAGCTGAGCCACACTTTCCGGATAATAACTTCCTTAAGTTTCTTGTTTGAAAAAAAAAAAAAATCATCTTCATTGGTTTCAAACCCGAGGTTTTATTGGAGAACCTACCACTTTTCCGACTCGGTAACTAAATCTGTACTGAGCGCCCCCACTGGATGAAGACTTCTCTCGCAGCAGACCTTCGTCGTCGTATATCAGATCTTCACGTATCTCTCCGTACTGCCAGTGGGTTATCCGCCCTTCTTTGCTGTACGTAATATTCATGCCGTGATGGCGATTGTTTGGGCGTATATGGGTCGGCTGTCCAGATCCATCGTACAAAATGGACATAATTTTCAGGAGATTTTTTCCCATGATGTTTTCCGTGTGGGTTTCCCGATCGTACTCGACAGTCAGCAGGTTTTCACCATTGATCTATAATTAGATTGAATTCACAAAAACATGCAAAACGATTATTTACAAATTCATTACATCTGAAATTCAAGAAGGAAAGCAACGAAATAGCATGTCATTCTGTTAATAGCACAATCTTCCCATACTGAATCTTATAGCAACATTGCCCGATGAATTACAGCAGAATAATGTAAACATTTATAGTTACAATTCAATGAACCACGAATGTATTAAACTTTAAACTTATCATAATTTCATTTTCATACTCTTACTTCTTCAACTGTTAATTGTCGTCTTCAAAATTGACATGTAAGTAATGAAGAAGAAAAAAGAAAAAAAGTTAAAAGATTAATGTCCAGAAGTCAAAACGTAGCATGCATTTTTGACCGACAAGCAGGATTTTATTTGCCACTGATGTCGTACAAGGCAAAGGGGAGATAACTGGCTCTACATATTGAAGCGTATATATCGATGGGAAGAAAAGCGCTACATACTCCTATCATGCTAGTAGTAATGTAATAAATGCATCGATTATCGAGACAAAAGGAACAAAGGCATTTATTAATCATATTTTTCTGGTTAAATCAAATCATTATGAGTATGATATGTGTAACATTAATCATAAAAAAAGTTTTAAGAAAAATTAATCATGCGATCGTATAAAAATATACTCTACAAAATAATTATAATAAACTTCAATAAAAACTTTTAAATCCTACTCAAAATCGAACTAACAATTAAAGTAAATGAAGATTATTAAGATAAAAAGAAAGAAAACGTTTCCATGCCAACTGTCAGTTCACATCACTCCAACGTTGTCAAAGGAACATTATTTTAGTATAGCCCTGCTGCAGTGCGAAATTCAGGGACCAAGACTCGGTTCTAATAAAAAAAACTTTGCATCGTATATATAACTATTTTCTTTTTGATTATTTCAAATCTACCTACATTAATAATTATGCAAGTTTAAATTTGTAATAAACCTTTGTATTTTTTTTATTTTGTGTATGTTTTTTGATGAAGTATAATTAAATTTTCAGTCAAAAAAATTCCTAAGACTTCGAATCTGTAGAGAAAATCTTCTGGACTGATTTGGTCATCAATGTTTTGTACAGACGACTCAACAGAGATAAAATTAAATCTACAATAACATAAATGATGTTTGTCTTTGATATCATGATGTATGAAGGATTCCTTCCAAATGAGTTTTCACGCCAAAAAAAGTAAAATTACAAAATGGTTGATGAATACATTCACGACACTGTAGCGTGCTACTCTTACCATAGCTTCTAGCGCTACTTGATAAACACGTGAAACTGCAGCGCCAAACACAGTTACATATACTACGTATATATAGTCGTGGGTATATGTATACATGTATCTAGTATATATATATATATATATATATATGGGGGGCGGGGCTTAGCGGGCAGCCATGGATGATTGACAGGCACTGCAGGCTTTGGGGGGGCGGAGACATGTAGTGTAATTATTAAGGGCACAATGGACATACCAGAAGGGCTTTTCCTTTGTATGATCCTTCATCTTCATCATGCGAGTCATGCATTCTGGCATGCCTTGAGGAGAAAGGAGCTCCTACCCTCATACGGTGCCCGATCCTCTCGACCACCTTACTTTGCCGCGTGCGACCTTTACGCCGCAGATAGTAACGCCATTCAAGCTTATGTACAAGTTTATTAGGCGCAATGACTTTGCGCTTGAAATGCATCCGGTACTCGTTGGCGAGAATCGGATGCCCGCCAGACTCTATGGAGATGGACAGGTTGCTAGGGAACACAACGACCACAGCGCCATCTGGTAGATATGTAACCTTGGTTTCGGCATTCCCTGTAGAATCAAATCAAAAAAGTTATTAATTTCAAAAACATGCTGGACACATACATGAATACAAATCACCTGTCGCTATGTTTGTGAAGACCCTACTCAGTATGGCTACTCAGGCAAGTCATGAACTCAAACGGGATATTGAAAATAAAACAAACAAAAAGGGGTAAAAAAACCCGAAGCTTTAAGAAGCAACTTTGTGTACTAAGCTTTATGAAGACAGAGGAAGAACGAGTTAAGGATGGAGTGGCGGTAACAAAACTTAAGCAGAGAAACAAAGCATCAAACTCAAGGTCATACATATTAAACATATTACAATGTCATACAAAAAAAAAATCAAGGTACAACAATCGAACCCATCATTAAAGAAGCAGGTTAGCTTGCAATTATTATATTGACTCTGAATATTTATAATTACAAAAACTGAAATTCTTCGGTGTAAGAAATAGAACTAATCGCAAATAATAATAATAATAATAATAATAAAATGCAAATAAATTGTCAAGCACAATATTGAACTATTGAATGTGAGAAGCTATATCGGAGTGACATTCAGTGTCAAAATCACTTGTTACATTGTTATCTCAAATCTTTAACATGCCAAATTCCCACTCTCCAAACACAGCAATACATTATAACACAGCCCCATTCCAAAGCGGTAACACTTATTTGTCAGTATATGGTTAAAATCGGTTCCTTCTGTAGCATTGTTTGTGCGTTAAAACCTGCATCATCAGTGAGTTTAAACATCTAGGCATTCAACATAGTACCAATAAATAATTATCTTCATCAAAAGAATACATGAAAAAAATAATAGATATATATAGAATATAGCTCGGCCCGCAGCCTCGATATAGAAATGTGAGTTGTGTAAAAAGCTGTGTGTGTAGAAATATACGTTTTTTATCAAAGAAAAAAAATTAACATCAGCCAAAATACAATAATACTAGATCTGACAAGATCTTTTTAAATACAAAGAGATATAGAATAAGCTTCTTTTCTTTATGACCGTCGAAAAGGGATTACAACTTTTCAGTAATTAAACTAAATATTGAATACATTGTCACCTAAATATTGTCACTTAACCCTTTCACCCCTATGTAATTTTAGTAGACTCTACCATGCATTGATCTGGATGAGTCCATTAAGGTCTACAGTGGTGAAATGGTTAATCTTTTGAGATTAGACCAATTGGCGCGAATATTAATTGCTATTCGTGGAGCAAAGCTTAGCTTAAAGTGAACATTCCAATTAAAGGAAGCTTAATTACAGTATGTATTGTGATAAAATTTTGTCTTGATTATTGTAAAACGGCTGATTGAAGCTTAATTAAAAAATTAAAGATATATAGTGAAATGCTACAGTAAGCCAAGCAAAGGCACTTAGTACTAAAAAGTACAGGTTAAATCAGATCAGTAAGTCCTACACCAGGTGAAAAATGAGACGAAATGGATGATTCTATCGAAATTTGTTCGTATTCTAATTTTTCAGTAGAACTTTTTCTTTTAAATTTTTATTCAAAACCAAAAAATCTGTATTGCCAATGTATCACTATGATAATTATTCTGATTGGTCAATGCAGCACTAAATCAATGAATCTGATTGGTCAATGCAGCACTAAAACAATGAATCTGATTGGTCAATGCATCACTAGAACAAAGAATCTGATTGGTCAATGCATCGCTAGGCAACCACATTCAACAATCATAAACACTGCAAATTATATAAAAGAGCAATGATAATCTTAATCGCTAAAATGCAAAACTGTTTTCTTATTTATTTCAATATTGTCAGAGTATAGCATGGAAAGTTATAATCAGGAATCAACATTCTTAATTGATGAGTATATATAAACTGTCCTGTTCCAGCCTAGAAAGTGCATAAAACTTATCAATTCATATCATCCTATAGTCTACTCTATTCAAGGTTTTATAAAAACAAAAAGTAATTTGCCCACTAGATTTTCACTTGTGGTTGACAGCTAAAGTCGTCACAATTCCAGCAGAATGAGATTTAGAAGCGCTGAATTTATGAAGTTCAAAGAGAAAAGACGTCTACAAGTCCCTAGCATATCTACGCATCTAAGTATAGAGCGAGGAATCTACGTCAAATAAACTGATTACCAGATTCGGTCATTACTGAAAAAGGTAAACATGAAAAAGTAATCCTCCACACATCAAATGGAAATTAGTTTCAGCACAAATCCGTTACACTGTTTCGTACTGTTGGTGTGAAATAACTACAAACAATAAAATCAATAAGAGGCTGACACATGTACAATTCCTTCTGTGTGGTTTTGACAATGTTACCGTATTTGACAAAGTAAATCTGTGAGGAAAATTACCGTATTTTCCCTGTGATTTAGTCCAGGGGGCTTATTTCTAAGAAAAGGAGTCAAACCATGCAGACTGCATGGGCTTATTTCTGACTCTATAACAAACTCCTATACACCTTACAGAAATATTGGTTAAGCTCTTGAAACGATTGAATAAATTCAGCATTTTGCTGATAACTCGGAGCATATTTCACAAGGTAGTATCTCTTCTTATGGGTGGGGGTAAAGTTTGAACATAGGATCATCATAGTTTGAATATTGAAATTTTATGTAGCATGGAACACATTCAAATATACTTCGGCATGTGTTGTCAGTCGGAACAACATTTGGGGCAATGTGTATGAGCGAGCCAATATCTAGGCCAAATATGGTATCATTGTCAAACAAAGAAGTAGATCAGCCTCTTTATGATAAAACGTGATGATCGATTGGATCAACCCATGACCTCATTATTCTGAAGACCACACCCACTGGTTACAGGTGAAAACTACAGGTGTAGGTGTGAAGGTGAGTGCACTAAATGTGTGCAAGATCAAGGCTATAAATACTTCCTAAATTTATTAAAATTATATTATACATTTGCTGTTTTCCCACCCTATGTATATTTTGCGCAGTGAAATCCAATGAATCAGACATATGTCTGACTTGAGGTATCTAAACTCCCTAGCCTAGCCTGTGTAACTTAGGAAGGGAAATCCACCTATTGTACTGGAAACGGACATAAAAATTCTCCCAACCCTACAATGTACATTGAATGTATGGAAATCCAACATATGTTGTAATAGGTTCTCCTATTGGCTTCCTGTCTTGAGAACCAGAGATATCGAAAAATCCTCCCACCCTTTGTATCTCAAAGTTGTAGGAAAGAATATTTCGTTACAGTAAAACCTCGGAATACTGCCAGGATAACTGTCATGTATAACATTTTTGCGGGATAACAGAGTTTTGGTCATACACGGAAGGAGGCTTATAAAGAAATTTTAAATTAAGAAATGGTCTTGCTAAGAATGAGCAAGGTAACAAAGGACATTACTTTTAAGAGTTTTTCACATTTTTTTTTTATCTCTAATTTGCTTTTCCTTTAGAAGCAGTTTTTTGTTTCGATCGAGGTTTTACAGACTAAATATATCCTCAACCCTCCTCCCAGTGTACGAACACAAAGGAAAAGATAGGATGAGATGAGTTGATACAATGTGGTGATGAGCTTATAATTTGCAAACTTGCCATGCATAACTGACTGCACACTGCCATATGTAGCCATAGCAACCGCATCACTGTTATCAGTGGTGATGCGGACGATGGAACCTGTGGTATTGACGTCTGTTGTTAAGGTGGTTATCTCCCCTGTTGGCTGACGGACCTCCAGAAGTCTGCCTCGGCTGTTGTAGCTGTAAGTGTAGGCCTTCCCGTCCGATAGGTATTTAGACTCCAGTAGCTCGGTACTCTCCGAATACGTGAAAGTGGCTGTCCAGTTGTTGGCACGGAAACTGTATAGCTTCCGAATATTGTTCATTTCCAAGTCACATTTTGAAGCGTCTGGCGAAATAATTTCTTTTGCCATGGTTTCTCGGTCAAGAGTGATCTTGATCTTGTTGCCGACGTCATCGTCAATGGAGATCAGTTTCCCGTAGAAAGAGTTCACGTTATACGTGAAATTATACACATACTGGTTTGTCATGATGTTAACTGTGTGGCGATGCTGACCATAGCTGTTGAAAATGTAGACCTCGTGTGTTTCTGGGGAGACAACTTCGTACTGTCTGGTGCTCTGGTCTGCTTCGGGAAGTTCTGAAAGTACGGAGAACACACGCAGATTTCCAGCATCGGCAATGTGTACGACTCCATCAGGGGTCACAGTAATTGAGGTCAGCTCCTTGAACAGAGCTTGGGCGGCGAGCGTCTCCTTGGAGTCGTAACACTTACACGTGATTGTCTGACAGTCACACTTCGATTTCGTCCCGGCAAAGTGATGGATATGTCCATCAGTAGTGACCACTCGAACGCGATTTATACTGTGTCGGTCACTCTCCACAATGTACATTTCGCCCTGGGGTCCGAATGCGATACTCTGGGGGTCTACAAGCTTGATGTCAGCTGCGATGTTGGATGCTTGTTCCTGATCAGACAGTACCCCAGTTGGTAGGAAACTGGATTTTCTGAATGGACAGTTTAGTGGACGTCCGGCAACGGTGATAAGACTGCCGTCCTTGGTCAGTTTGAGGATGACGTTCTTGTCTAGAATGTGAAGTGAGTCGTCCAGAGGATCTATAGCCAGGTCAGTGGGCCACTGAAGTCGGATCTGTAACATATAAATTGGTGTCAGTTATAACTTATTCACCCCTAAATACACATTTGAACTCTTCCACTTCAAAGGTTGGAATAGTTCATTATAAAATTTCAGGGGTAAATGAGTTCATTAAAGCCTACTTATTCTTGAGATAATAGGAAATATCTCAGCTTATTCTTGTTTTTCAACATACCGGTATATTTAATTCTAAACTTCACACACTCTTATTCTAAGAAAAACATTGCTGCATACCAATATATATAGCAATTGTTTTGTGGTATAAGTTATATTAATTACAATAAACTATGAACTACTCTCACCTCCTCTGCCGGCTGGCTGTGATCACAAGACATGGGTTCCCAGGTTCGCGGCTGTCCCTGTGAACCGATCAAGGTGTGGATGGTTTTATCGGGAGTCACCATGCGGATGTTCAGGTTGTCAGCGATGTAGATCACACCCTCCTTACTAATGGCTATACCTGAAACATGGAATATTACAAATGTCAAATATATATCACAGTTAACGTACATCAAAATTGATACAGGCCACGTTACTCACGCATTCCTTAAGGACATATACAGCGTATATAAACTTTTTTACAGTTAACTCATTCACCCCTGAAGACACATTTGAACTCCTCCGAATCAATGGTTGGAATAGTTCATTATGAAGTTTCAGGGGTGAATGAGTTAAACCTTTACTGTATATTGTTGATATAGATTCAAAGCTTTTGATGCATCAACAAGAGGAAATTGCAATTAATATCCTTTATAGACAGGTTTTTCTTGGTAAAGAGTTGACCATTATAAAGAGGTTTTCACTACAAAGAGGTCTCCTGTGTAGTAGACACGGTTCTCCATAAAGCTGATGGAAGGGAGATAACTACAACAAAAACTGAAATAAATAAAACAGTTTAAAGTCTGATAGAAGGGAGACAACTTTCTGAGGTCTATATACCTTTGGGATGTACAAGCCTGGCGTTGATCGCACGCTTGCCATCACCACACCTGTCTATTGCCCCAGGGATACATTCCTCTCCGTTGCCAGCGATGATCACGTAGTTACTGTCGAGGATACGAACGGGTCCCATGGTGGCGACCTTGATTACCCGGTGATTCATGTAGTCCGACACGTACAAGTGACCATCCACTGGGCTGACCGTCATGTATGGCTTGTACGATGTGGAGATCGTACTGCAACATAAAAATCAAACGGTTCAGAATCTATTTCCACATATTGTTTATCACTTCAATCTATTTCCACATACTGTTTATTATTTAATTTTTTTGAAAACTTATTTTCAGGATTGTTAAAAACTAACTTGCATGAACCCATACTATAAGTTTGCAGTCAAAAAAAATCCCGTTATGCTATCACATTTTTTGTTTTTATATGGCGCTATAACTGTGAAGTCTTAAAACTGACCTGGTCTTGAGGATACTGGCAATGTCGTAGCGGCTCGGGTTGACCTTCCTGATGTAGTTGAGGTCCCACACGTACAGACTTCCGTCCCGTCCACTGGCTAATGACACAGGGGCAAGAAGACGGTTGTCACGGGCACGTCCGTTACACGAGTCGCACTCTAGTTTCCGCCTGTGACCGTTCCCAAGGATATTGACCAATTTCTTGGGCTTTTCTTTGAGGTAGATATTTGTGCCGTCTCCTTTGTGAAGAATTCCTGAAATAAGGGAGGTAATTCTTCTGAACTTGTGATACTTGTGATACAGGAAATCTCTGATTATTTCGAATTTTATAGATTTTTTTTTTACTCTTAGCAAAACAAAAGAAAATGAGAAATTATTTATTTGATCAAGATTCCAATTTGACAGTTTACCTTCCTGGAAGTTGTACGTGTGGTGTATGTCAATATTCCAGCCGCCAATCTGAGATGAAGCCAGGTCATATCCACTCATCGTGGTGCTGCGAACCTCCCAGTAGATGAAGCTACATCCACTGTACTGGTAGCCGACTTGGACTGTGGGGATAAAATAGGACATTGTTAGGCAACTCAACATGGCTATTTAACCACCTGCGAATATCTGTCTAAAATGCTGCTTCTGTAAATAAAACAAGATTTATCACAAAGTTTCCACTTGTACCAAAAACTCTTTATGTAACAGTCAGCTATGCTACCATAATTTTAGGTTGGATCTAACCACTTAGCTGTTACGAATATATACCTTTCTATAAAAAGTCTCTTTTGTACGAAAAAATACTTGATTATAAAGGTCATCTCTGCATATAATTCACTCTTCTTAACCCTTTCACCACTGTTAACCATAATGGACTTATCCATGTCAATGCATGGTAGAGTTTATTGAAGTTAAATAGGGGTGAAAAGGTTACAGAACAATCATAATATTTCCTATTGGTTTAGGTTGCGGTGTATATACATAATGTAGTACCCATTTCACCCCAAGTGTCAGGATCAGGCCCCCGGGCTTATTTGCAGTAAAATACAGTGTACGGCTGACCTACCAACATCGACAGAGCTCTCCTCACTGTTGTAAGTTCTATCATAAAAAGTACAGTTGTGTAGCAGATATTGGTTCAAAGAGCTTGTTTGGCGATAGATATATAATATCTATCAACTTGGGGCCAACATGAAGCAAATTTGATATCAGAAATTGGAAGAAACTTTTAGGACAAATTACTTTGTCTGTCTGGCAGTCTTCAGATATGTTTGAAATTCAATATAACGGCAACAGCAATTTTTTTATTCAATAAACAAAAACAATTTTATATTTGGCAGACTGGTATACCTATGGCAATATCAATTACTTTTATCACTTTATATATTTAAGAAAAGCAGTCATCTGCCAAAAAACGCTTTAATATACATTTATAATTGACATTGCTAAATAACTACCTACATTCCTCCATTAATTCAATTTTCTCAGAAATTGTTATGCATGGCATTTCCTCGAGTCAATTTTCCAATACAAAACTTGGGTTGCCACTCCTGAAGGCGTTCCTTAAATCATGAGGCAATTGTGAGAGTATAGCCACTACAAGCCAGCCTGTGCCTAAACATGTCTCTCACACCCAATATTACCTCAATGGTACAGCGACAAAGACCAAACAACCAAATGCATGACTACCGCGTATCCATTTACTGTGCACCACTTTTAACGTGGTTGATATGCTGATATCATTTACCCGGTTGTCCTGCTCTGACAGGAGGTAATGGACACCACGTCTGATGCAGATGTGTGATGTGCATTTCCTGTCACCAGTTGTCAGGGGCTCCCCAAGGGGTAATTACATACCATAAATTTCCTTTATCAGTATGCTCTGATTGTGTAATGGAAAACAATACTACCATATAGTCATGTTATAAATTTTCTGTATTTTTCCTCCCTTGAATGACTATAAAGCCATTTTTGCTGTCATTTTATGAATACATCATGTACACATATTTATAAATAAATTATATTTCCCCTAAAACATGCATGTTTGTCTATTCACCTCTCAAGAGTCTTCTGCGGGCCTGTGCGTTATGTCAATATCATAAATTGAGTTGAATGTTTTTGGGGAAATGAACCTTATTAACTGTTTTCTGATAAACTGCTTTTCATCAAGATTGGGGGGAAAATAACTAACTCTTGGGACACATTTCCGTTTTCCGTTAAGGTAGGCAGAAAATACCTGAGCAGGCGAAGGGAAGTAATTTGGATTGTTCCCGAGAACCTAATCTGTACTTTTTCTTACTATGTAGCTATCGTTAAGGTTTGAAATGCAATATATCCTTTCTACATACCTTTCACAGTAGCCTACCTATTCCAATACTTATGCTGTTTTCTCAATAATTCTTGAAGAAACTTTTAGCAACAAAAACTTACCTTATACATTAAGCTTATACATTAAGTGAAATAATTTCAACTGAATCTACTTTGTGAGTTGTTAAGTAAAACAGCTTAATTTGGGATAATCAATCAAATTGTACTTGTATATGAATCTCACCTCTGGCTGGAACTATCCCATACACATCCTGGCGGAAAGCATTCTTTCTGTCCCAGGAGAATGTGTACTTGAGGCCAGGGTCGGCCTCGAAGGTCTTCTCCATGTCTATGCCCTGAACGGACACCTTGAGGTGAACCAGGGCTAGATTGGGGGGAATTACGCTCGGGGTCATCTGGATGAGGATCACCGACATGTACCCAGGGGTGTCGCTACTGTGGTAAACCAAGTGGACATCGGTGGACGGTATGATCAGACTCTCCTGCACCACCTGTAGATAGTAATGGATTTAGTACATTTAATACTATAGGCTTGTATGATTAAGGACTCCTTTAAAACCTGTAGGTAGTAATGGATTTAGTACATCAAATACTATAGGCTTGTATGATTGGGGTTTCCTTGACAACATGTAGGTAGTAGTGGTTTTAGCACATCAAATACTATAGGCTTGTTTGATCAGGGTCTCCTTTACAACCTGTAGGTAGTAATGGATTTAGTACATCAAATATTATAAGCTTGTATGATAGGGGTTTCCTTGACAACATGTAGGTAGTAGTGGTTTTAGTACATCAAATACTATAGGCTTGTATGATCAGGATCTCCTTTACAACCTGTAGGTAGTAATGGATTTAGTACATCAAATATCAAAAAGGGGATAGTACAACATTGATATGATGCCTTACAGAAACTGTTTCATTCAAATTTTCCTGCATAAGTTTTAGAATGCGTTTTGTTAAAGTGAATGTAACAAAGGTCAAGGGACTGGACTAATTTACTCCTATATAAATGTACACATATTTTTCTGGAGTTTGAAGGTGAGTTTTTGTCAAACACAATGCATTGGATTAACGTTTTATTTCTGAAATGGTGCACAAAATGTACACAAACTCCACCTGTGACACTTACCTGTGATTCAGGAATGATCGTACTCTTCTCCGGGCATGCTCCAAGCTGTGTGTGTTGCCAGGTGGACAGAACGACCGGCTGGAGGCTATAGTAGTCGTGCATGACCCCGCAGACGACCGGCTCGGGAGGGAGGTTAGATTCCATCTGTTGGACCATGATGACTGTGTTGAGCGTGAGGATCTGGTTCCACGGGACTAGGACGCTCGTGCTGTGTGACTGGAATGGTTGGCGGGTGAACTCCAAAGTCACCGATCCTCCACCGTTCACAAGGATGTCAAACCTGCCACAGACAAAGTCAAATTTCTGTTGCAAAATGACTTATAATATTAATAATATAGAAAAACTTAATTTCCAAAATGTTTTCACATATTCAGAGATTAGTTGCTTTTAACAAACAAGTTTTGTCTTATAAGTACCGGTACCCTAACTTTGTTTTGAGGAATTTCAAATAAGAGGCTCTGATTATTCACCTGAATTTCAGTCTACAAAGTTTTGATTTCCATTTTTTTAATTTTTTTTATTGGCGATACATTTACTAAAAAGCACACCAAAGATAAACTGGGACTCAGATCATGAATCTAAACTCAACTCGATATAGATCGTAGGAGTGAAATTAAGGTTTCACTGTATAAAACTGTACAATAAGGTAATGATAATTAACTGATTTATATATATATATATATATTTATATTCAAAGTATACCATTCCATTTATTAGGATAATGACAGCACTACAAACTCTATTAAAATGTTAGTTTTAGTAAAATAGGATTTTTCAGTGAAATACGGTAATTAATTGACAAGGAAAACTCCAATGATGCTCTGTGATAAACAAACTCTACACGACGATTTTCGCAATTAAAGATTCATCTTCAAAGAATATCAACGTTGAATCTTAATCAGGTAATTCAATTCCGCGGTATCAGCCCTATCAATGAGATGCACTCTTTATATGCAAAATTGTCATGCTATCAGCCGCCAGCGAGATTGTGCAATCTATGCAGCCAGGGCGCCGATCTCTTCCCGAGTTACAACAACCAAATTGTCTAATTGACGTTCATTCTGCCAATTTTAAAATCGTAAAAGAAATTTCCGGGTTGAATAATATCTTATCACAGTGTGCAATTATAAAGAAATGTTCAGGTATAGAATTGACTTTTCTACCAGAATCTCAACTTCCTGATTTTATCGGTGAATTTATAGCTGCAAACAAGATCAAGTGACTACCTGTACACACGGTTTTCTTCAGATTGTATTGACTTTCGGAAAATGTCATCTAGATAGAGACCAGGCGGATGTCACTTGAGAATCCTGATGTTTGTGCTCAGATGTTTTGTATAATAAGGTACCAAGTTACGGTGGATCAAAGAGACACAGAGCCATCATTTCTATTTGACAAAAAGTCCAGCAGTAAAGTTGTCTTTTTCTTTTGGTTTGCCATTGACAGCTAGTACTTCATTACCAACAAAATGCCATAGACACATGGCGTCTCATTGCTATTAGCATGGAACACAAGCCCTTCATTGCTATTGTTACAAGCATGTTTCCATAGACACATGACGACTCATTGCTATTAGCATGGAACACTAGCCCTTCGTTGCTATTGCTACAAACATGTTGTCATAGACACATGGCGACTCATTGCTATTACCATGGAACCCAAGCCCTTCGTTGCTGTTGCTACAAACATGTTTCCATAGACACATGGCGACTCATTGCTATTACCATGGAACACAAGCCCTTCGTTGCTGTTGCTACAAACATGTTGTCATAGACACATGGCGACTCATTGCTATTACCATGGAACACTAGCCCTTCGTTGCTGTATACTACTCCTTCATTATTATTGTATGAATCAACAACTAGTCCTTTCTTGCTATTGCCAAGGACATCATTGCTACTGTAACAAACAAAAAGCACTTAGTTGCCATTGCCATATACAACTAAGCCCTAGTTGTTGCCTATGCAATAACAAATGGACTTTTGATACTTTTCCTATTGATAAATAACCCATTTTTTTCCCCCCCCATTGACAAATAACCTTTGGATACTTTTCCCATTGACAAATAGCCCATTGATACTTTTCCCATTGACAAATAGCTCTTTGATACTTTCCCCATTGACAAATAGCCCTTCATTGCAGGTGAATGACCAAAATGGCATTGATGCAATTTTCATGAGCACATGCATAGCCCAACATCACCATCAATGAATGAACAAAAAGCATTTCATAAATTGCTACTTGACACATTACCAAACAGTCTGTTGGTACTACTGCCAGAACAAGTAGCCCTGCTTTGCTATTGCAATTGTTGATTAAATGTACAATCAACCCTTTATCGTAATTGCCACGATCACGTAATCGTAGCTGCGACTACTTACTGTCCACGTCTTCGCGTGAGCGTGTATCCATAAAGAGGCTGCCGTGCCACGTGCACCCGCACACCAATAAGTGGAGTCCAGTCTTTGGTCATCACTCGTCCACGGATCAAGGAAACTTGGCTGGAACAAAACGAAACTCAAGTCAACACATTGCCTTAACTGTCAGGAGCAAACAGAATCATACATATTACAGGAAACTTAATGTCAATTAAGTCCATTAATCACAATAAACAAATACAAGTACTTAAAAAACTTCAATATCTATGATGCTAAATCACTTGATTAGATATTATTGCATTATCTTAGTAGACAGATGTTAACTGTAAGGTATGTATATTTTTGCTTTGTTTTAATTTAAAAAAAAAAATCAATCACTTGTTTTTTGTTGATCCTGTCTAGTATAGATAAATTCCACTAAAAACCAATACATGTAACTTTTTTTTTTCATTGAATGTTTTTACAGATCTTGTGTTGAAACCAAACTAAGTACCATCCAAATCTGCTGTCAAGAAACTAACTATCATTCAAAGTCCATTTCAATTTATACAAATTATGAAACATTTTCAAGATTTCAATTTTTTTTCAAATATTTTTTTGTGTGTGCAAAGACATTCTTTAATTAATTAAGAATAACTTATAATTATTTCAATTTCAGATATTTAAAAGAAGGTGTCGCTTTCAATTTGTTCTCAACAACTTAGATTTTTCTCTTTCAATTTATTCTAAATAACTCCGATTTCCAAAATTTAAAAATTAATTTGGAAACAGCCATGTGATATGATACAGACGTGACACTGATTGCGATTGCAGCAACAAATGTCCCAGGGGTGACTGGCATGATGGGATTGATAACTGAAATGCCCAGAAACAGGAGGAGATAATCAACTGTTGTCTTATTGTGTTACTATCAGGAATGTTATCGGTGGGATAAACCGAGAGCTAACCTTCACACACAACTTCATGAAATATGATGGAAAGGTAATGAAACATCATGTCTAACGACAGTGTTAACTGTCAGTTTTTTTTAAAATCCTGATAACATTGCTCGACTATTACGTGCCAAATAAAGCTGATAGAAATGGATTTAAGCTTGTAATTCAAGCTTGAACTTGACAAACAAAATATGTGGCTTTTACTGGACAAAAAATAAATAAATCAATATCAACTTGTTGCTTTATTGTCGCATTGTGTTTCACACCAAGTCTGAATCAATCGGATGTTTGCTTCACATAAATCAATGAATAGTCCCCTTGAAGCTTCTCTATGATCCTGATGGTGTTGCTAGAGCGATAGGTATGACTACGAACGTCAAGATGAACCAAAGTTCATCTGCATAATGTTTTGACTTTCCAATAGAAAGCCCTGGAAACACACTTATAACACTGTGAGGTTTATTGAAACCGGAGTAGATAAGGTTTAGTATTTCTGCCATCCCAGAAAATTGCTTCTGTTTATCTTTCTCGGCACTCAACAGCAGATCGTACAGACATCCTGTCATCATAGAGTGTCATGTTCACTCTTTATCAATAATTTGGAAATAGGATTGGTTTTGGGGCAACCGTTAGTTGAAGACTCAAAGCACTTTTATTTTCATGATTGAAAAGAAGAAAAATGTATTTTTTGATTGGGAATTTTAGATTTCACACATGTTTTCACATCCGATAAAGATGTGCCGTATTTTGAGTTTTTACTTCATTTATTTGAATCCCATATAAAAATTGCTGAGGAAAATGGTCTCCAGACCCATTCTCTGATTGCTTTATCAAAAATTCCCTCTCATGTAAGTCTATAACATTTTCACATCCCCTAGATGCTGATTTTCCTAGCTTGACATGTTGTATAGTTTACAGATGGAAACAACATGGACGTAACCATTAAATTATTCTCCAAGCAACATTAAAATGTACATTTCACATCAATTTTCTTATTAAGATGCCTTGTAAAATACAACACTATATCTTTAATTAACAGATGTTTAATGGTTGACTTTAATTTCAAACTTTTCCAAATTGTTATTAAAAAGACCATTTTACTCGAAATATTAAAATGATTCACTCCAAAATTCGTGTAACTACACCAAACTTTACATACTTACCTCAATTGTCTAAACTTAAGTTATGGACTATTCTTTGCACAATCATTCATCATGAAGAGACGAACCTCCCCCCCCCCCTCTTCCAACCAAAAAACATAATTCAACAAAAAAATTGCTGATGAATTGTATAGAAAACAGTAACAACTTTCACTGAAATAATAATGTTTAAGATCCACCTCACAAAAACTGACTTGTAATAATTAATTTAACACCATTTGATGTGATACTATTTGTTCCATGTTCCAGTCCACCTAACCTACTGTGACTAGCGGTGGTAGTAATACCTTTCACTGAGACCGTTCCTGGAGGTGTCAATCTGAACGCTGTTTTCCTCGATGAGGAACCTCATTTTCTCGTAAAAGGAGGCAGTGGAGCTGGGAGGTTGTTTGCGGAGGAGGATGTCGAGAGGATCTGGGGCCATCTGGCAGTAGTTACTGTCTTCACAGGCGGAGTCTAGACAACAGTCGGGGTCTAGGCAGTCAGACAGCCCATCTACAACAAGGAACGGGTCATTTACTGAGGGAGGGTAAGAAGGTTGCAATGTATACCATAATAGTTTAAATATAACCTTGACTGCATAACGTATCACATGAAAACAAGATGTTTGACCTTGTTGTACGATGTTTGACCTTGTTGTACGATGTTTGACCTTGTTGTACGATGTTTGACCTTGTTGTACGTACCAGGTTTGACCTTGAGAACGTGATGTTTGTCTTGGACTGCGTGACACAACTGTTATACTTGACTTTTATTTTTGATTGTGAGATATATGTCCTGCCCATAATGTAGGACATTGAATGTAATACATTTTATTAACTGTGTGATGAATGAACTTGACATTGATATTTGACATTAATTAAGGAGTGTGCTCATTGTGTCCTTGACCCTGTGATTTTGACTATGTGATGAATGACCTTGACGGATGATATATATGACCATGTCTTAAGACCTTGAAATTGAGATGTTCATTGCTGCATGACCTTGACCCCTATAATATGACCTTGATGTATAACCTACCTCTGTCATTGTCATCCCCGTCCTGACACACCATCTCCATAGTGATCGCACAAGCCTCTCCTTTCCACCCATGATGACAGCTACACATCCAGCCATGAGAGAAAAGGCGGCAGTCTCCATGGTTACTGCAGGAGTTAGGGCAGCCATCTGCAGATGAAAACAGGTTTGCATGTGTTCTGAGGAAGCGACCACGCTTGATTCGATAAACAAAATGGAGGAGTGGGGATTGTGCAGTTGGAAGCTGACAGAAGCACACACAGATGGGTGCAGGGGATATATCAAGCTATCGAGGACAAAAATTGTGGTACAATATAAATAGATTTGCACAAGTTTGTAAAGTAATGTTTAATCACAGAACGAATTGGTTGAAGTTAAAAACAAGGCTTTCCCAGTTCCAGACATATTTCCTGTTATGTAACTTATATCAGAATAATTGGGGAGAAAATATGTGAACTTGTGCAAGTCTACGAGGAAACATTTTTTGTTGCGACATTCCAGTGCATATATAGCTACTGATGAGGGGAGTTTGTCCCAACGGTAAATGAGACGCATCCGTTTTTACATCATTGGAGACAAGTATCCTACCGATAGGGTTAAAGCATAGGGTAGCAGAACATTTGCAATCTAGCGAAGAGATCATTTTTCATCGTATAATCATATACATTAATCTATAACGGCAACGGTTATCAGCAATTTAGCAGTCTCCTAAGATGATTTCTAACAGGTCGGTTTGTTAAGAAAGCCCCAGAGCCAAAATATTGCTTTAAAAAGCAGTAAAATGAGAAGTATTCATAAGGATAAACAGTTCTCTGCAGAACGTCACTGACAAAAGTGTTAAGACACTTCACTCACAATAATTAACATCGACACGTAATTTGAATTGTGATTACCATAAAATGTGACACGTATTTATATTTCTGTTACAGATGAATTGTCCTAACAACACAAGTACAGCTGACTCCAGAAGGTGTGGAGTCTGTATGGTCTAATTAAGTAACAGTACAATCCATAATCGGTACCAAAGACTCGTACAAAAAACTTAACCCATCTAACTGATTAAAGTTAGAGATGTAAAACGGTCATACTGTTACATTTGTAAGGGGAGAATCCCATGTATGAAACACGATTTATTCTAAAAACATCCCTGACAACATTCATCACAGTCTGTTGTAATTTAACGGGAATAAGATTGTAAGTTCGAAGGTATAGTTGTAAGAAGTAGGTTTTTGGATTATGATTATAGGTGCATATTTCAACAAGAACAATTTCTGTGCAAAGTTGACTTTTTAACTTACATGTCTCAGGAATTGTTTTAATCAATTGTGTGCAGTTATAGAAACCAATGAAAATTGACGGAATTTAAAACTGTATTACGACCAATGTTAAAAGTCCTATCAACCAATTAGTAATTTGTGGACCCGTAGAACATGGATCATGACCAAGAGTCATGCTGATAGAGAGTTTTGTCCTATACAAGTGCAGCAGTACCTAGTGTGCAGTGATCTCCGTTCCATCCTTTCCGACAGATGCATGTTCCGTTGTCACAGATACCGCGCAGTCCGTCGCAGCGTGCGTCACAACTTAGCTGGTCGCACAGGGCTCCGCCCCAACCCTCGTCACACAAACATTTCTGGTTCATACAGTGTCCGTGGTAACACTCCAGGCGACATATTTCTGATGGAATTTTAAAAGTTTTTTGTCAGCAATTTTGAAGGGAAATAAATATAAATCTCCAGTTTTATAGGGAGTCAGTTATTCTTTAAATACATCCCTAAAAAGAAGGTTTATCTAACTTCTCTCCAAAATTAATTGGATTTTTTATTTATTTATATGAAAACATCAAATCATGATGAATGTTAGATATATTGTCTATTCCGACTTAAAAATCCTCTCAACATTGATAGGATACAAATAGATTGTCAACGAAACTTTCAAACATCCATGATTCCTAGCATTTTAAACCTTAATTGCAGGGAGACTGTACCAAACAATGATTTTCAACAAACTGCAAATATCATTTTTCCAGAATTATAATACAATTTAAATCACATTTGATAAAATTCCTGTTTAGGTTATTTCTCCTAGTTTCAATGGATATATATTTACAATTGTAAAATTGCATCAAATTCAAGCAGAGCCGCTTCTTTAAATCATCTTAACTATGCATTCACCCCTGAAGACACATTTGAACTCTTCCAGTTCAAAGGTTAGAATAGTTCACTATGAAATTTCAGGGGTGAATGAGTTAAATCATCTATAATCAAGTTCAGACATAACAAAACTGTACACATTGTACCATAAAAATTACAACAAAAGGATTTATCAAAAAGATAAAAAATCCTAAATAGATATTGCAAATATAGCTACTGACTGAAACATACAGACAACAAGACCAATACATGATATTTGAAAAAATATTTGAAGAAATTCAAAAATCGTAAAAAAATATTTGTAATTAATGCAAAAATAATTAAACAGCATTAGCACTTAATCAAGCAATTTGAATATTTTAAAAAAATCTGAAATCTAGATATGAGTCAAATTAATCGAAAAAAAATCTAATATACTAACAAATATATTAAGATTTTACAAAAGTACATTGAAAAAGTCTTTAATCTATTCTACAGAGTAGCAAATATAATTACTGACTAAATTACTACTCTTAAAACATATAAACAATTTACTAATTTAAAACAAAATATGGAATTTTACATAATTTTTCTAATTGAAATATTCAAATCTTCAGAATTAAATCTTATTGTAAAATTTTTGAAAATATTGTAAGATTTTTTTTTCCATTTATAAGATTTGATATAGGCCTGTTTAAAATATACAAAAAATTGTTTTTTTTCTTAAACATTTAAAATTGAGAATAAACCTCAATAATGATACAAGATTCTAGACATGACTACAGCCTAATGATGATTTCTATAACATGATATCTCGATGCTTTCTCTGTTCTACAAAAGCATGCCTACATGCAGTAGATAATGCTATTATACCTGATCTACTCATTTGTATACCGTCTCGGATTAGGCCTGTAAAAATGGCATAAATAAGATTTAGTTCAAACAACAGGCAGACATGTTACGGTGGGATGTCGAAACGAGGAACGTCGAGACTTAAGACCGTTGTTTTGACGGCACTTGCATGGCAAAACCTGGAAATGCTACAACCACTGTGCCCTTGGTTTCAATTTGAAGTAAAAAATCAATCCGACTGTTTCTTCGACAGAGAACCAATTGCTCAGTCAAACGCTGCAACGTCACATGGACAAAAACTGTAGAAGCAATATGCACTATTGTACAAAACATGACCACACACAAAACATTCTATAAACCAAACTAGCGATACAAAATGTCTAGTATTTTGCAGACCTGAATGTCAAAAGTCAAAAAGTGGGTGGCAATATTTTCTTTTCATCTAGTGGGAGTTTTTGTCTATTTGTCAGTTATACTGAATGAAACCCGATTTAATGGTATAAATACTTGTCCAAAAAAATCAAACAGATCTAACTTCAGCAAATTTATAGAGAGAAAAGACACTGTAAAATTTAATGGAAGGAATGAATACCAGTGATATGAATTTTCCACTATCTCTAACCACAGATCCATGACAAGAGTGAAATTTGACAATACCAGGAAGGAATAGGTTTCTAATGAAACACAAGTTACTGATATGAACTATAAGGTATAGAATTGTTCACAGAAATATAATGACAGATCTGACACTCTAAGCTGCCATATTGATACCATCAACAAAACAAACCATCAAAAAACCCCTCAATCAGGAAACATGATACCTTTTTTCAAGACATTTTGAGCCAAATTGATACTCTTTTTATAATAACAATTTTATGATAATCAGAGAATGCCTACAAGAGGAACAGTAACCAAGGGGAGTAGTCCTTTATAGGAGATGATAGCAACAGTAATCAAGGGTTATAGTCCTTTTTAAGGTAGGATAGCAACAGTCAATAAGGGTAATAGTCCTATACAAGAGAGGGTAGCAACAGTAACCAAGGGTAACTGTCCTGTCTAGAAGATAGTAGTAACAGTAACCAAGGGTAACTGCCCTGTTTAGAAGATAGTAGCAACAGTAACCAAGGGTAACTGTCCTGTCTAGAAGATAGTAGCAACAGGAACCAAGGGTAACTGTCCTGTCTAGAAGATAGTAGCAACAGTAACCAAGGGTACCTGTCCTGTCTAGAAGATAGTAGCAACAGTAACCAAGGGTACCTGTCCTGTCTAGAAGATAGTAGCAACAGTAACCAAGGGGAACTGTCCTGTTTAGAAGATATTAGCAACAGTAACCAAGGGTAACTGTCCTGTCTAGAAGAAAGTAGCAACAGTAACCAAGGGTAACTGTCCTGTCTAGAAGAAAGTAGCAACAGTAACCAAGGGTAACTGTCCTGTCTAGAAGAAAGTAGTAACAGTAACCAAGGGTAACTGCCCTGTTTTGAAGATAGTAGCAACAGTAACCAAGGGTAACTGGCCTGTTTAGAAGATAGTAGCAACAGTAACCAAGGGTACCTGTCCTGTCTAGAAGATAGTAGCAACAGTAACCAAGGGGAACTGTCCTGTTTAGAAGATATTAGCAACAGTAACCAAGGGGAACTGTCCTGTCTAGAAGATAGTAGCAACAGTAACCACGGGTAACTGTCCTGTCTAGAAGATAGTAGCAACAGTAACCAAGGGAAACTGTCCTGTCTAGAAGATAGTAGCAACAGTAACCAAGGGTACCTGTCCTGTCTAGAAGATAGTAGCAACAGTAACCAAGGGGAACTGTCCTGTCTAGAAGATAGTAGCAACAGGAACCAAGGGTAACTGTCCTGTTTAGAAGATATTAGCAACAGTAACCAAGGGTAACTGTCCTGTCTAGAAGAAAGTAGCAACAGTAACCAAGGGTAACTGTCCTGTCTAGAAGATAGTAGCAACAGGAACCAAGGGTAACAAACTGGTTTTGAAGGGTAACAACAGTAACCAATGTTAAACTCCAGTATAGAAGACCGAATCAACAGCTAGGAAGTGTGACAGTCGTGTATGGAGAGGGCATGTATGGAGATATCCATCAAAGCAAACATAAAACCATTCTTTACAAAAAGAAATTCTTGAATTGAGATCAAAACTGTTTTGATGCCTAAACACGCACATTGTCCCACAGCGGTAAGGTGAATAAAAGTCTGGTACCAAAACTGCATGCAAGCAAATTCCAGACTACAACTCCTTACTGATAAATCTAAACTATTAATTGATTTTTACATCAATCTATATATCTGACCATCATGCAAACACAGAAAACAATTACAAATGGGTATAAATCATTTCTGCCAATTTCCACTTATTAGTTGTTGTCACGAACATGTTATTATTTACGTTAATTTTTCTTTTTGATTTATTACTACAAATATCACTTTCCTTATTTTTTTTTATATAAAATATTGATAATTATGTCTCCTCTCCTACACCACCTATTCTATCCAATGACACTAGCTACAAAACACCTATGTCTAGTTCTCAGGTAAAAAAATATACGAAAACCTGATCATCACGATTATATACAAGAATACAATTACATATATTAACTTTATATAAATTTGATGGACATGATTTTTAATTATTTAACAATTTCTTTTTAAACATTTACCTTTTTTAACATCTTTAAAAAAATGATGAAAAAATGTTGAAAAAATAAAGTTAAGCAAGCAGATATGTTTAAGACTGCTTATTCTGAAGAGGAATAAAGATTAACTCATTCACCCCTAAAGACACATTTGAATTCTTCCAATTCAAATGTTGGAACAGTTCATTATGAAATTTCAGGGGTGAATGAGTTAAGGTTATCAAATCCCTAACTTATGCAGAAGGTCTACCATGGGTGGTAACAACAGAAGCCAGTTGTTGAAATTGAAGCTTGTCAAACTTTAATGAAGAATACAAAAATTATCAAAAAAGACGATACACTAGTCATATGACACAGTGTTGTATGTACGGTCTTGCTGGTAACGTCATTAAATGGGGGGAAATAATGAGGAAAAAATTTATCAAATTCTATTTTATTTTTTTGCAACAAATACGTATATGTATCATCATGCTCTTTAGAGTTTCAAAGTTGTTTTCAGCCAGGACAAGCACATTATGTATACAATATTACATATTCTTGGTATCAGTTCAGTTCGGCTTTGACTAAAAATTACATTACATCTCTCCAATGAGATTACTACCGACGTTATCTTCATAAAACTATCTGTATAAAAGTGGGGAACATTCAGACAAATTCAAAACAACAAATCAGATTTGTCCTGTAAAGGACTCCCAACGGTAAACTTGATTAACGCACAAGAAAAAGGGGGATTCCAATTTCTGCTAGAGAAACATTTCCATTTCATTTGTCAATATTCAAATGCATGCATGTGATCTAAGGCTATTTAGTGAGGCATGCCCAGGATGTGGTAAGACATGCACTTGTTTAAAGCAAATTTCTGCATGACAGCTAGGGAAACCACCAAATATGCAACACGCACAAACTGCAAAATGCCAACGCTCCTTGTGACTGTTACGAACATAACATGTTATCGCATGCAAAAAAACTCCCCGAAATTCAACAAATGAAAAAAATCATCCGCTTTCTCCAGGGTTCTTAAGCACATTTCCCAGTCTCAGTTATGTTGACTTTAATTTATGTGTAGTTTACCTCTGAGATTTCATAATTGTATAGGAATTTAATGAAACAGTCCACTTCAGGTTTGAAAACATTGTTTGGGTTTAAGGGTAGATTAATTGTTTCGGTTTGAGGGTAGATTGTTTGGGTTTGAGGGTATTGTTTGGGTTTGAGGATAGATTGTTTGGGTTTTTGGGTATTGTTTTTTTTTTTTGGTATTGTTTGGGTATTGTTTTGGTTTGAGGGTGGGAATTTGTTTTGGGTTAGAGGTTATAAATAGTTTGTGTTTGATGGTATTGTTTTGGTATTATTAATTGGGTCTGAGATTATATAATTTGTATATTGCTTGTCACATTAAAATGTAGACCAATTTTATTTGATGAATTTCTAAAGTGAAAATGATTTTTCTAATTGCAGTCTGTCAGCTTTTGCTGTCACTTGCTGGAGATTTCAGAGATTTTGTACATTTCGCTGTACAGTAAACATATATGTCTGTCTGAAATTCAGAGGTGTATGATCGTATAGAGTAAGATCATCATGAGACACAAGAATGTTTCATTATTATTAAGGAAAATCCTGTACAATCATTAATGAAAACAGAAATCTGAGAAGAATATAATGGAAACACAAATATGATTAAATTATGATGGAAATGTCGGAAAGTTTTATTAATCACAACGAAAAAGGAGAGCAACTAATGATGAAAAAAAAAAAAAATATGAGAAAAAGTTTGTTGCTGTTGGGAAATTTGTTAAAATTTGAAATTATAGTTTATAAATGAGACATCTATTGTTTAAAAATGAATTGTAGAACACATTTTTGTTAGTGGCTTTAGTATATTAATGAAATGACATGCATTAGTCGAGGTTACATTGTTAATAATCTAGACACTATGATAAGTGATAAACTTCTCATTCCAGGGACAATTTAGTATTTGTAACTAAAAAGGGAGGGTTTATTATTTGAAACTCAACAAAATGGTATTAAGGTATAAAAATAACTTTTTTCAAAAAATCAAAATGCAATAAATTTCTTTCAAAATTTCAAATTACTATACCTGTCTCACAATCCGGCCCTGCGAAGAACCTTTCACAAAGGCATGTGTCAGACTCTAAGTCATAAGTGCCGTGACCCGAGCAGTCACGGGCACAGACCTGGCTGATGTTTAGTTTATCGGGAAGGCTACAGTCTGAACCCTTATACCCTTTTTGGCATACACAGTTTCCAAGATGGCAGACCCCATAACCCGAGCAGTTAGGGACAAGACAGTCAACTGTGTAAGAAGTAAGAGTTTGGGCGTAAAAAAAGGAAAAAAAAAGTGCAAAATAAAGAAATGTCAACACTATATGTTTACCATCCACACTCAATAGCAGAAACTGTAGTGTAATTATAGAAGTAGGAAAATTCAACAGGCAAACTAGGATTTGAACCCATGGAATCCCGACATCAAGACAGACACCATGAACTGAGATGTCTGGTCGTCACAGACTGACTCAGTCCAGACCTGCCTCACTGATGTCTTCAAAATTTTTTTTTTTTTTTTTTTTTCGATTTGTGCGTAAAAGATCGAAAATATACAGCATCATGGATTGATGTAGCGGGTTTTTGAAATGAATTGAATAGCCAATTATTATTTTTGCATCTTGAATTGATGATTATGCTCATTTACAAAAGCGACAAATAGTATAACCTGCATTGAATGTGGATACAGAAATTATTATACGAATGAAATTAGTACAAGCACATGACAGAATTAAAATATAAGCTACACATATAAGATTAAAATGTTTAAGCTTGAAAGGCTTGTAAGAATAAAGCAGCACTATATATACACATGTATCAGAATGAAAACAAATTCAACACAAATCAGATCTACAAGACAATATCTACAATGTTCAACAGTCAAAGAAATAAAGGAGTAAATGATAGACAAGGGAGATAATCACGTAAAACGACGGACGAAAACACGTAAAACAACGGACAAAATCAGGTTAAGTAACAGACAATCACATAGACAGCACAAACAGACAAGGATGATAAAGTCTCAAGAGTTTACAACCATCCACGGAGTGGCAAGAATGAATATTTCGAATATGACACATTTAAAACGTTTGTGTGATTTTACAATAGAAACATTCGGAGGAGCATGAATTTGTGTGATTCGACAATAAATCATTCGGATGATCACAGGTTTTTTGATGTGGTGCATTGTGGGTATATACGACAGTTGGTTTACAGACATGGATCACCACACCATCAAAACATCGCACACGAGTCTGCAGTGAATGGACTGGGGTCAAATTATAGTAACCTTGAGGGGTCAGGGAAAGGTCAAAAAATCAAACTGATTCATATATATATATATAATGAGGGAACAGTTGATAGTCTAATTGCTTAAGATTTTTCCTTAAATATTTTTTGTCTAAAATACCAAACAGAATTCGACTAGACTTTGACCGATATGATCTGGTAATTTTAAAATAATTTCAAGACAGTTTAACTCATTCACCCCTGAAATTTTATAATGAACTATTCCAACATTTGAATTGGAAGAGTTCAAATGTGTATTCAGGGGTGAATGAGTTAATAAGATGTCTCTGATTTCGAGTAAATAAGGGATTATTCCTTGTGTGAAAGTAAGTCAAGTTTTCAATTACGTCAGGAAACTTAAAGAAACGCAGGAATATGTTACAAAGCAATTAAACTAATGAGATTAACTACATTTATCAATATGTATCAATATATTTGTAAACTTTAGTAACTTTCACCATTTGTTAATTAAAAATATGGCTTTTTAGAGATAGAACCAAGTCCAGGCAAAACTCTATATCTGAAAGGTGAGACTTAAAATTGGTTCTTGACAGGGCGATACATAATAATTTGGAAAAAAAATAAAATAGTGGACTATATTTTGTGGCGGATGTGGCTGGCATTTCGGTGTAAAATATTACCTATGTCTGACCCTATGTAGTAGTCTGTAACAAGTCATATCGAAGCATTGTCAATCAATCAAAATATCACCAGTGCTTTCATCAGCAAGTACACAGGAAGGAACGGATATTACAACACAATACACCGTAATTTCGTTCTATATATGGTGCAGGACTTTACGTAGTCATGGCGAGCCTATTTGACAAGTTAAATATTATCTGCATTTATCATGGTATTTTATCGCCGATGGTAGTAGCAGAGTCATCACAAACAGGATATTAAAACGATAATTATATGATACAATTACGACAGAAAATATAAAAACGAAACAGTTGTGTGTATGCATTTTATGACAGAAAATAGAGAATTAATGGTCTCCAAGGAGATAAATACACATCAGGTACGCAGTTAAAGTTAGGCATCCTGGCATTAATGATTATTCATATTCATATCACTGACCACTCAAAAAGCTCCAATTGCAGGTTCACGGCATATACTGTATTAAAGATGGTATAGATATCAGGGATGTCTATATCGACGTACACCACACAAACACCATTAGACTTACCTAGTCCACAGTGAGGCCCCTTATACCCAGGTAAACACACACACTGTCCGTTGACACACTTTCCATTCCCGTTGCAGTTCGGGACTTCGCATTCATGGATGGGGATTTCGCATTCCGGCCCCTTCCATCCCTCGTGACAGCGACAGGTTCCGCGGATGTATAGACCGTTACCATTACACAGGACGGGACACTTCGCTGAAAGTTACGAAAAACGGTCACCGATAAGAATACTCAGATCACTTAATTTTCTAATTGAATTAAACTCTAATTAAGAAAAATACATAGAAAAGTCCTGATGATTAACTGTCAGATAGTATGTTGTAAACAGTTTCCTCTTAACTCTGTTGGTGTAGCACTGGCCTAGGCAATTCAGGTCTCTGGTTTGATTCCTGCTTATCTAAACATGAAAAATATACACAGATTTGCTTTTCAAGATTGTGATATGAAGAATATATTGGATGGATAGCCATTCGGCAGTCAGGAGAAATGATTTGATATATATGGGTAAAGCAATTCATTTTTAACGTGATTCTGGCGAACAGTTTCAATTAGAACAAGTCTGATCTCACTGAGTTACTTCAAACCCAAGGAATCATTTCATTTTTATGTTTTGCAATTTTTTAGCTGGAACAATATTTATTATTAATATATCAGGCAACACATGACTCATATAATTAACAATGATTGTTAATTGGTGAGGAAATAAAAAATATCTTATGTTATGCTATATAATCTGGTGTAATACTCTGCAGTATTGTAACAAGATAATGATGCTGTTCCGTGAACTTCAACACAAGACACCATTATTTCACAGAGCCTTAAGGAACAAAAGTCTTTTTCACCAGCTGATTGGAGGAAAGAAATGCCTCAAAGTATGACATCCCTAAAAACAGGCCTAAAACACTGATTTATTTTCAAATTAAACCTATAATTATGTGGTTACAGCTCGTACGCTGGTTACCAAGACGATAATTTCTCGTCTCCATCCCCTCCATCAGTTAAGGGAAAAAGTCGGGCTTTCAACTTTGATCAAACTATGATCATTCAATGACGACAGTGAAACGCGCTGGAATTAAAGTTTATGACCAGGCCTATGGACAGGAAGTTCCGGAATTGACTTTCTGCAGACGTTTTATGATCCTCAGACAACAGGACCTAACTCCTCTGCCTCATGAACAAAAAACGTTTTCTAAAAAGTCCTTCTTTCTTTGTGGAAATGAGACAAAAAAAAATCCCCGCAAAAAAACCCAACATCTTGTAGAAACACATGGAACCTGCCCTCATATCTAATTACCGTTAATGAACAGCTGATTTTACATGAATGTTTCTTTGTTTCAGAGAGGTTTCCTCTTGTCTCCCCCTCCCCCTCCCCCTCCCACACTTCATCTAAAAAAGATCTAGACCTCTCATAAAAGAAGCTGTTAGGGCAATATATGTCCCTGAGGGCCGGACACAGGAGGAGGGCTTTATTTGAGTAATGGTCCTAGAATCAAGAGGGACACTCAAATCGAGGTACACTAATCACAGACATGATGAATGTCAATCCAACAGCTGATGTTCCCAGTCTGAGCAACTCATCCACTTATCATCAAATCATATATCTCATTATTAAACATAATTTTGAAGAAAAAAAAAAAAAAAACCAAACTAAAACAGCATCACCTCTACATATAATGTCAAAATAATAACAAAAAGATTGAGGGTAAAGTTGTTTTTTTCCCTGTTATGCTAACAGTGTATTGTATAACAAGGCACAGATGATCAGAACTGAGGCTAATCGAGTTTCAATGATTAACATATGATTCGTGCCACCTGTGAGTGAAAAGATTATCTTACGGATAAAGGAATTACTCTGTAGAGTCGAGGGATAGGTATGTCAGCTAGGGAAATCAACTATTCTCCGTCACTCTGACAAGATTAAGAGAATCAAAGTTTTAACAAAAAGTGCAATCATTATTAAAATTTCATGACAATTTTTTTTTTTAAAGATTCCAAAGCCTGATCACGACATCAAGGGTACTCTTCTGTCATATTATATTTTGTTCACTATTCATACACTTTCTATTCTCAAATTTTGAAAATATTTAGGGGGAGGGGAGGGGGTGTATAAGAAATCAAACAGATACATTTTTTTTAATGATGACAGTGTAACTAGGTCATGCATGACGCATCCGAAATTGCAGGGAATCATCTGGAGACAGTCTAGTAACCAATCAGCTCAGGGACGGAGGGTGATTGAAGTTTGACATCGTGACACCTAATGTGCACCATCGAATTAAAAAAAACTGATACCAAAGTTAGAGGCCAGAAGATCACCAGCAGAGAAACAGCATTGTCTTTGTTCTTTCTGCCTGTCATGAATGATTCTATTTTTTTCGGCTGTTGACAAGACCTTAATTGGAGCTTGTGTTGCACTCCGCTAGACTTTACAAAGCTGTTAACACCATCGATTGCTACTCAAGTCCCTCTCAGTATTTTCCCACTAGGCCGGTTCGTGACCTAGTGACTTGGGGGCAGACGTTATAGGGTCTCGCAAATACACTTCTGCATCCACGATGCACTATTAAGCTGGAATCTGTAGAAATTTGTAGAAATTTGAATTCACACTCTTAAGAAATGACACCTGTAGTTTGGTAATAGTTGTTAATAGACAATACTGGAGGAATTGTTCTGTTAAATTATAGAGACATTTCATTCAGATTTTGAATAACATACATGCACTTCAATACTGATTCTGTTAATTTTGACATTTTTTTTTTCAAAAAAAAATATCGGGGTTGGGGCTGGGTGTTTCGGGGGGTTGGGTGTTGGGTGTTGGGTGTGTTGGGTGTTGGGGGTTTGGGGGTACCTTCCAAGAGTGATTTATCAAAGCTATGCAGGAAACAAAAGTTTCCAATGCAAATATACTGTTTTTGGCAGTGGTACGTACAGGGAACCTTAAATGTAAAAGAGAAAAAAAAAAATGTTCTTTTATTTTTTATTTCCAAATATTTAAAATCAGATGTGTCAATAAAACATGTTTGAAAATTAGTCATTATCTCACAGAAGATTCTCTTTTTTTTAATTGTGGAAACAATTACATCAATACAAATGTGTAAACTGCAGTATTTCTGCACGTTCCTTAACCCATCTGCAGATTTCTCTAAGAGAAACGTCTAAATTGCAATCATTTCGGGCTCTGCCTCGTAAAGACCAACAATGCCGTTTTTATAATTGAAACAATTGAAACAATTTCAGAATTAAGCCATTATGAATGGGATACCAGTGTTGCGTCACCACACACACAGTACCCGCAGTCTTCGTCTCGTACAAATGAATGACACACTACCAAGACATGTGCCATCCCTGATGAAATCATTTCTCTGTTTTCTCAGAAAACAGAAGGGAAAACTTTGACCAAGGGAATCTGTCATTTGTATGAGTGACCGACCTAAAATACACTCTGGAGTAAAACATCTCCATCTTTTAAGCTCCGATGAGTCAATGATGGTTCTTTGGGAGGGCAATGAATCAGTATTATGATGGGGAACAAATGGCGAAGCTTCTAAATAGGAATATGGAACCATTTCAAGCCGTGAATTATAATGAACCCTAATACAGACGAAAATATTGTGAAATTATGAAAACATTGGTTTGGTATTAAGATACTTCTCAATGGTTCAATTTAATGAAGTGTGGTAAAATAAAGAGCAAATGAATGGCTGATATTGGTCAAATGGAAATACGGACATGAACACTGGTGACGACAGGCTACAGTCTCCTCTTCATTCTTGATGTACAACACCCTCGTAATAGCATTAATCAAGAAATATGAACCAAATTCTCTCCACAAATCAATAATGTCAAAGTCACCTGCATTTCCAAATCAAAGTTGGCACCATCAGCATATTTCGTTTTATTTTTTATACAATGTCCTACGTTTGCTTTCACAGCCTAATAAGATTTATCCAACACTCTTTCACTAATGACTTAATGTAACATTCGGTAATGGCCTTTCGTCTCTTGTCAACCTCAAACTAAATTGCCAGCTCTTAAAGTATGTCTCCCTTCGATGACCGAGGCCATCAGTGACGCGGAGATTTCAGCTTTCCAGGTCACCAAAAGGTTGCGAGATCGGGAGAAAATGACATTACAATATTGTCTAGATTTTAGTTGAATTCATTCCGCTTCAAATTTAAGCCATTTTTAGACTAATGAACTGCATGTGCATGTTTTTTTGTGAATGCTTACCGACAGATAGCCATACTAAAAAAAAAAGGTCAGTTGGGAGTTCTAAGTACTTTTTACCTTTCAGACGAGAACAGATAAACCTATTATGACATTTGAAGTTATATACTTCACCCTTTCACCCCTATCTAGCTTTAATGAACCCTACCATGCATTGATCTGGATGAGTCCATTATGGTCTACAGTGGTGAAAGGGTAAAGTACGGTATATACAGTCTAGATGAAATGTTTCATCTTCGACATACAAAAATTCTCAATTACGACTACCTGGCTTAATAGGCTCATATAAAACATGTGTGCCAGTTGGAAACGTTGTTTGCTATTTTTTCCTGGTTTTGACTTCCCAGCATGCTTCCATTATGTAAATCTCAAGAATTTGTGGAAAAACTTACTCTGTGAACAGTCCCATCCAGCGTATCCAGGGAAACAGCGACATTGACCTTTGAAACATTCCCCATGTCCGTGGCAGTCATTAGGGCAGTCTGTACCTAGTGTATCTGATTGGTCAAAAAACAATTTAATTTAGAATATATATACCCAGTAGTACCAATGTACAACAAATGTATGTCATAATCTTGAAAATGACTTAAACAAAATACTTTTTCATTTTTTGTTAAATACAACTTGGATACATTTCAAATCGAAAAACATCGTAGCAATTAATTATTTGACAGTAACAATAATATTATTTTAATTTTAAACTTTGGCCAGATAGAGGGCAAGTGCATTATGGGATATGATTTTGCCAGACATCAGAAAAGGACAGGATATATTTACGACTGACAGTAGTTCTAGACATGCATGCCTATCTGTTTTCTGAGTCATAATTCATGACGAAATATTCCCCTGTCAAGATCGATTTTAATTCTAATGTCCAAAATAAAAAACGTTATTCCCATGTCGTGGTACATGTTGAATTTTTGTGACAAAACATCAAGTTATTCTATTTGTAATCAATTCTCAACTGTGGCAACACAATGACCGTCTGCTTCTTACATATGATACATACAATGTGTAGACATCATTTCGGATAAATGGTTTCCGTAAAGAAAATCAAGTAATTTGATATAACAGATGAAGGAACTGAAAGTTTTCCCTGTTGACGTACGACCCGCAGTCTAGACTCTTACCGTAGACGTCCGTTTTGAAGGAGATGTATTCTGGCTCATTGCGGTCGTTGAACACTGCGACATACCAGTTGCCCTCTTCCATATAATGAATTAATGCCGTATCTTTACCATTATAGCTTCGTTTGTCCTGTAAAATACCAAAATCGTTGAATCAGTAACTTTTCTCCGATAATTTACTTCAAACTTTATATTTGTAACTGGTAATTTAAATGTTATCATACATATTTCAACAAGCATATTGTCTCCTTGACGTGGAACTGAAAAAAATAAAGTTTTTAAACCCAGTCTTGTTTTAAGATACTGAAATACAAATTATGACACAAATGGAACGGTTTTAAATATTTGGGCTCGGTTTAGAACCAATTATGTAGTAAGAATTGGAAATTTCCATTTTCTTGTTAGAAGCCAAACGTGTACTTTGATATAATCTTGTTAATCTTTTACCTCAATTTTATTAAAGGTTTATTTTGAGAAAATGTGTTATAATTTAATTTGAATCCAATATGAACGTAGCTTGGTAAAACATTTTTTTAATTCAATTGAAGATGTAGCACGGTCTGCATGATGACTTAAAGGAACAAATCGGAGACAGTCTGCTGGTCTCCCAGCGTTATGTACATGTAGAGATAACATTTCCTAAAATTTAATCAAGTTAAAACACTCTTAAAGTACTGGTTATCAAACTAAACTTTGAAAAGTGACCAAATTCACCTCGTTTGGTACAGCAGTTACTGTAAATTGAAGAAATTTAAGTTGCAGCCAATGAAAAATGGGCACTGAGCAGACGACACTTTTCAACATTAGAAATCACTAGAGAGAAATGAAGTGGAAATCAAGAGAGCAGACAATTTTCAGAAGATTTTTTTTTAATTTATAAAGTTCTTTTCAGATCAAGGAGCAGCAAATACATTTTTTCATCAACAATCTTTGGAAGTTTTACCGTGAAAACTTTTAAAGTGGTTATATTCTAAATAGACACAAACGAACAGAATACATGACATTACATGATTGCATGGTCAATTCACGAAATTATTCTTTATCAACCGCTACAAACAAATTGACTGGTAGACAACTTTATGTACGATTGATAAACATGTAGACCGATGCTTTTGCAGATGATAGGGATCATTATCCCCACTGATGGAAGCCCCTCAATGGTTAAGAGACCACAGGTACTCCTCTTTTGATATTGTGGTAAAAATATTAGAATGTGTTGTGTCCACAGTGAGATGGTTAATCTCTGTAAACAATAAGACAGGGGAGAAAGAGGAGTGGAGGAAAAAAGAAGGTAGGGAAGAGATTGAAAAGAGGGGGAGGAGGAGAGAGAGAAGAGGGGGAGGAGGAGAGAGAGAAGAGGGGGAGGAGGAGAGAGAAGGAAGAAAGGAGAGGAGGGAGAAGGAGGGGAAGAGAGAGAGAAGAGGGGAGGAGGAGAGAAGAGGAAGAGGAGGAGAGAGAGAAGAGGGGGAGGAGGAGAGAGAAGGAAGAAAGGAGGGAGGAGGGAGAAGGAGGGGAGGAAAGAGAGAAGAGGGGAGGAGGAGAGAAGAGGGGGAGGAAGAGAGAGAGAAGGGGAGGAGGAGAGAAGGAAGGGGAGGAGGAGAGAGAGAAGAGTGGGAGGAGGAGAGAGAGAAGAGTGGGAGGAGGGGAGAGAGAAGGGGAGGAGGAGAGAGAAGGAAGAAAGGAGAGGAGGGAGAAGGAGGGGAGGAGAGAGAGAAGAGGGGAGGAGGAGAGAAGGAGGAAAGGAAAAGAGAGATAAGGGGTCAGAGAAGGAGGAGAGAGACAGAGTAGAACAAGTGAGAGAAGGAGGGGAGGAGAGAGAGAGAGAAGGAGGAGAGAAGGAAAGAAAAGGTGGTGGGGAGGAGGGCTTGTTAGAAACCTCTTGTACCAATTGTCAGACTATACATTAGAAACTAATCACCCTGGGGCGAATTCAAGTTGATATTAGATAAGGCAGAGTCTTTTATCAAACGTCAGATCTTAACAAACATGAACCACACTTCACCTGTCTCTACAATTTTCCCCCCAAAGAAATTGAATATACAGAGTAACCTCCCAGATTTGGTGGTCTGAGATACACACATGTAGATCCTATCCTCTGTGATCCGATAAACTGTTTTATCTTAAACTAGACACCATTGTCTTGTATATAACACTAGGCACCATTGTCTTGTATCTAAACAAGGCACCAAAGTCTTGTATAAAAAACAGTCACCGGACACCAAAGTCTTGTATCGTAAATATAGACACAACAGTCTTATACATTAACTGAAACATAAAATATTGGCACCAATGTCTAGCAAGGTAATTTCCTGAAAGATGGATAGATATACAGAAATGGATACTTCAAGGCCCTGATTTCTCAGTAGGTGTAACATACACCCATATGTCAAAGTCTCTGGCAACATGTGACTGAACTGCGCAATCTACCACAGACATATATTGTATTCTACCAATTTCTTACAAGAGAAGATCCTGTCAAGTGCAGAGGTCAAAAGATGGGACAAATTAAATCCGACTCTGACGAATGGGTCCCAGTGTTCACCGTCAGTACTTCACACCTCGGGTCTGGGATAACACACATACATAACGGCACTCTGACCTTTACAGTAAGACATAGGTATCGCAATACTGATGTAAGTCTAACCCATAAAACTCCTTTTACGCCATGCCAACCTGGAACCACTCTTGTCAAAAAATACCACCTAAGGACCACTGAAAGTTTTTATAGAACGTTTCTGTAAACGGTGATCTAGAGAAAACAGTATGTTTCTCTAGTGACCATCTGCCGAAAGATAACACGCTTTCGCGATAATTAATATCCACTGCCAGGTCATGATCAAGGCAACAAAGTATACTGATGGTACTCAAGTTACAATCTACTATGTAACTAAAGAGTTTTTCATCTTATATCAGAAAAAATAATTCATTGGAATGGAAATCGGTCTGCAGTTTGTAGGTAGTCATATTTACTGTTATTGAAGGTCAAAGGTCAAGGCTCTTTTGTACATTTCTATACATTGCTCTTTGACCTTTAATTTGTTAGTAGAGCGAGGACAATTTGACCTTATTGGTAACTATATTGTGCACTTTGACCTCTGCTGACAGTAAGAGTACACAATGAATTGTGCTGTGTGAATTTGCCAGTTGTATCTAAGGTATAAGTTCAGTATGTGTGGGTATATTTGAAGTGTTTATCATTTTTCAAAGTGATCAACCTTAACATGCATCTGAAAGAACTAGAGCTGGTCTGAAAGTGTAAGTAAACTGGTAGTGTAGGCGATTGTTTTTACAATATCAAACTCCCAGAATGTTTACGGTATTTCTATGTAATGTAGCCGACTGTTTTTACACTATCAAACTATCAGAATATCTACAGTATTTATGTGTAATGTAGCCGACTGTTTTTACAATATCAAACTCACAGAATGTTTACGGTATTTATGTGTAATGTAGCCGACTGTTTTTACACTATCAAACTACCAGAATATCTACAGTATTTATGTGTAATGTAGCCGACTGTTTTTACAATATCAAATTCCCAGAATGTTTACGGTATTTCTATGTAATGTAGTCGACTGTTTTTACACTATCAAACTACCAGAATATCTACAGTATTTATGTGTAATGTAGCCGACTGTTTTTACAATGTCAAACTCCCCTATTATTTAGGTATTTATATGCAATGTAGCTGATTATTTTTACACTATCAAACTCTTGGAATATTATGGTATTTATATGCAATGTAGACAATTATTTTAACATTATCAAACTCCTGGAATATTATGGTATTTATATGCAATGTAGCCGATTATTTTTACACGATCAAACTCCCAGAATATTTACGGCGTTTATGTGAAATGCCTCCGATCAAAACTCCCAGAATATTTACGGTATTTATGTGTAAACCACTTGGAGATGGCTGTTGAGACATACAGTGTTTAATAACATCGTTAGGTAGTTCCGAGTTTGAAGCCGCCAGTGATCCTCTGTGTTCGTCTGCGGGGAGATTCGTTTTACAACCTCTCCACACAGACATCTAACGTATCCTCTTAACACCATTCATTTGTACATATTTAATCGAATCACCTTCAAATATGAAACGTAAATCAATGGATAATTCAATAATTTCGCCAGAAATGAAGGATAATCATGAACATACATTACGTTCCGTCCCAATTTGATGCACAACAAACTGGTAACAGGGTGACAGACTTTTCACTCTTTCATTTTTTTCTGTTTCCGACTAAAAGGGGATACGTAATTATGTTTTGCAGGCCACGAGCTAACAGTTAGTTTTTGCTCTTCAACTATAGTGCAGAATGATTTATGGCTAAAATAATTGAAAGTAAACTCTTGATTTCTGATATAAGGGTTCTTATTATTAAACTTCTAATGGAAAATTTCATCCCATCAGATCTAGTGATTAAGTATCTGGAAAAGCTAGTCAACATTTGATGAAGAAATTAATTCAAAGACATAAACAACGAAGTAGTTAATTACCTTTGATAGAGCTCTTTTGTTTCTCGAGGATGGTGTGATTTTACTTCCGTCGAAGACCTCAAAGAAGTCGAACTGTGCTATTGTCGGAGGCGCATGTCTTCTCGCATAGAAACCAAGCATTGCACTGCCAGGTATTGAAAAATTAAACTTGATAAATTTTGGTTCTTTCTGCATAAACTTCATTGTCCAAAACGATTGTGGTTGTATTTTTGTTTGCTTCACATCTCCAACTTGGAATAACAAAGGATTTTGGAAATTTGGATTCACTCTTGTACCTGTGAGGAAGAAAGGAAAGGATTGCTAATTAGACATCAAAATGTTAATTAACTCATTCACCCCTGAAGACACATTTGAATTCTTCCAATTCAAATGGTCGGAGTAGTCCATTATGAAATTTCAGGGGTGGATGAGTTACACTTGTAAAGCATATAATCCCATGTATACAGCTATAGTGCGCATCCAGTAAAAGACTACACAGCATGAAGACTTTAAAATAATTTGAAACAAATCATGCCCAGTTTTTATAATACCAGGTACAAAAACCGATTTGATTTAATAACAAAACTTCAGAAACACATGTTGGTACGTCAGAAATTTCCTTTTTATCTGAAATATTTTCAATAAGTTGTTATAACAGTAGGTGGAATCCAGCGGATTAGATTGCAATGAAATCAACAGAAAATTGGTTAAGTAATTAAACCCTTTTTCTACACTTTCTCACCTGTTCGACTAGAATTCAAGGCACTATGACCATTTTCTGTAGCTACCATCTCTTTTTCTTCAAATAACAACATGGCTGCAAAGACAAGAAGACATACAATGAAATTCCTACATATTAAGCATTTGTTTATTTCAAAGGAAGGATTTAATTTTGAAAATTTTGTAAAATTTACAAAAAGTTTCAAGACAAGATGCAACCCCCATGCTTACCTTACATAAGAGTACATCCATTATATAATTATTGTTAAAGTGAATATCTTGTAAACAACTTTGTACACGAATTCCTTTTTTCAGGGTAAACTTTAGAAATTATAATGCTCTGTTATATTCTACAATTTTGCTTCATATTGTTTTATGTGTTTTAAAAATATTTTTTAAGGCGTACTAGCTAGCTATCTCTTTCTTCTTGACATATTGCCTTTACACCTATTCCCATTGTTATTTTGCTAAACCTCTTGCTTGACAAATTGTTACAGGAAAAATGGTGGCAGTATATATAGACTGCAATTGAGCAATTGAATTATCACTGAAAATGAAAGTTCCTGAGTATTATGATCAGATTAAGGGGAGATAACCCAACCCATCTATCCGACAACCATCAAATTAGGAAGTAAGACTGCCATATATATATACAAAACAATCTTAAAACACATAAAACAATATGAATAAGAGGCAATGTTTTCCTGATGGCAATGAAAATAAAACGGTCATGTTCCATCAGGGGAGACCTAAAACAAGTTTAGAACAACGATGACCATAACACCACGGACAGGAATATCATTCCTAATAATGTTTCGTAGTCTCCGGGGTAATACTGAAAAATCTGATATCGACACACCGGTACAGAAAAAAAATCCACGAGTTTTACTGGACACATTCATTGAATGCGAACCCTGTAAAGCTATCCCCCCCCCCCCCCAGAACACGATCTGGCCCTACGTACTAATGGATGGACAACAGATATAACATTGATACCTATCTGTTCCGAGTTTCAGAAATGATCCCACAAACTGGCTTCATAATGGGGGAAAAAAAAGGCGAAATAAAAATCCATATTTAATTTACAATATTATGCTCTGCACTGTCGTAGTTCAGGGCAGGGATTCTGGATCATACACTTGTGTGCTATATAGGACCTCGGAGGGGCAATTTGAAATGGCCTCCTTCTGACAATCATTCAAACCGATGCTATGGCAACCATAATGGATTAAAGCCCAATGCATGCTGGGAGCAAAACAATACCGAAGACATCCATAAAATGTATTCTAATCTGTCCCCGGGTGGCTGGAAAAACTACTTCAAAATTCATTTCTTAAAACCTACTAATAAACTGAATGTATAGTTGGTGGCCCCTGTTGCCAATATCTGTTTCACCAGAAACATACATCATCAATAGACGAGTTCAGCAAAAAGCCCACCCATCATGTAACACGGGTAATATTCTGCCATTAAATTGGAACAACTTGCATGAGTAACCATCCCGTAATGGGTAATCGCGATAGGCCCGATGACAATTTCCCCGTCAGAATGTTGTTTTTTGTTTTCAAAATACTTTAGATAATTGCAACATCAGAGCAAATTTGAATTGATGTCAATTAATGAAATATAATTACCTAATTGACAAATGTTTTGGCTGATGATGTTATTTTTTTTAATTAAACATTGACGGGAAAATTTCGATAATCGACAGGGTATGTATGTGTGAAACTGAAAAATGGTCTGGACTTATTTCTTTTTATAATCAACTGATTATCAAAACAGTTGTTAATGCTTATGATTAAGTTTTCATAAAAAAAGTTGACCTCAAAAGTGACCCAAAATTGGTCAGAACGGCTTGTTTACAATTTGCACTAGAATATATTCAGGGTAATAATTTCCACTGCCCAGCCCTAAGACTAAGCCACTCCATAGTTCGTTGCTTTTTAACACTATGACATCACAGTTAAAGTCTCTACGCTGGGTATTAATGTCTTTTGATCAAATTTCACTGATAAATTGACCAAAGATTTTCCAGCATTTTGCAGTAAAACAAAAATTAAAAAAAGAACCAAAAAAAATTGACGATGTATTAAACTGAATAATTAATTTCTTCCATTTTTGTGAAAAGTGAAAAAACCTACATCTGACCCAGAATTCTGGTCCTTTTTTTTTTTTTTGAAAATATCTGAATCTGAACTGAAACTTTTTCTGACATTATCGGAGCCTGCACTGATTTTTTTCTGACATTATCAGAGCCTGCACTGAATTTTTTCTGACATTATCGGAGCCTACATGACATTATCGGAGCCTGCACTGAATTTTTTCTGACATTATCAGAGCCTACACCGAAAATTTTCTGACATTATCAGAATCAGAACTGGAATTTGCAGGTCAAGTAGAATGGACAACAGCCACAGAATTTTGTCAGAGGGAATATCTAGCGATGGCCTTGAGCAAACAATTAGGGCCGATTGGATAGGACCAAGAACCACAGAATCTCCTAAATAGTCAGACTCGGGGCAATTATTGAAATTCATGAAAATACATGAATCAATAGGGGACATCTTAGATGGGTTAGAAATACTTCTGGGACAGATAAACGCTGGCAAGACGAAAGGTCAGAGACACAACCCCAGTGCTTGATCTCAACATTGATAGATTTGTCAACTTTAGATTTAGATCTCATTTTTTTTTTTATTCAAGATTAGTAACATCTACTGTGCTAGTCAAGACAAAACAGTCATTAATTTGTCAAATTTCTTATTTGGATATCAGACTTAAGCAATTTCCATCGTACATTACGTGAAGTTAAAAATAGTAACGATGTCTTAGATGGACTGTTAAGATGACTGTGCTTGGATTGGCCAATTTGGGGTTAGGATTGGTAATATGGAACTTGTATTCATCAATCACATCTGTGTTATTCTCTAGTTACCCATACTATTTATATTGAATTAAGACAAATTCATGACATTGGTACAAAAACATGTATTGTAGTTTTCTGCAGAAGGCGAAGGTTCTATAACTTATAATGAAAAAAGGCCAAAAAAATCTTATTTAAAAAAAAAAAATCTTTTCATCAGATACCTCAGAGAAATAGCTCATAATTCAATTACAATTACAATTCCATTTTTTTTTTAACAAAATTGGTAATAATATTAATGTTAAAATGAAAGCATTTTTCTCAGTAATGTAATTTTGTTCATTGTTTATTTTTTGTTGTTGTTTTCTCTACATTTTCAGCTCCTATAAGCTACATATAATTACATTATAACATTACAATTTTCTCCGATCAAAATTTCATATTGTCATTCATACTGTGTAAAAAAAAATCACCAGAGACAGAATTAAGGATGGAAACACCGTGTGTCTTGCAATATTTCAGTGTAAAAACAAATCTGTACAAAAGGAATATGAAGCTCGTCAAACTTTGTAATGTATCATATTGCAAAGAATGATCAAGTTAACAGTAAACTCATTATCAAAATTTACCGACTAAATTCTGTGGCCCCCTGAGGTTTAAACATGTATAGTGATTTCCTGGTAAAAAAAAAAAGAGATAAATTTTCGATTTTTTCAGAATTAAATTGTATACATACCTCCGAAACATGCTGCACAAGCGAGCAGAATAACACAGATGACCATAAGAATGACCGCCGTCCACTTCCAGGAACAACGTTTCTCCAACTTCTCCTTCATCCGATGACTAGTGTTGCTAAACTTTGAGTAATAATCCTGGGACATGTGTTGGGGGTACACGACCCCCGGCGGGGGCGCCCCCTGTTGGCAGCCGAAGTGTGTATGCGTAAATGCGTGTCTGCAACGAGCAATTAAAGGGGAAATAATCACCATCTTTATTTATTCAAGTTCAGTCCAATTTGTATTTCAAGTATTCATTGTCATAAAGGTGATACATACATATATATATTCACAAATAAATGCCGAGTTGAAATATTCAAATTGTTCGTAAGCTCATTATTACAGAGTTTAGTATTATGACCTGTCCACACGTTTAATGCTCACAAAACAATTGGCTCAGTATCAAAGCCCAATGCATCAATCAATTTATCATTGACAAAAATATTGAGAGTTTTAAATCATCACATGCTAAGCGTCACTTATGTAGCACTGTCAACATTCACAACTGATGTCATGTTAATGAATAACTCCATCAATTTCTCGGAAGAAAAAAGTGTTGCTTAAATTTCCTGTTCATGATAAAATAATTTTCAGCTCCTAACTGCTGAAGTCCTTTGAGCACTCATAAACGGTAAGTAATATATTCAATTAAGCTAGAGTACAGTTTGCACAGATATAAACGTGGAAATCAACGACACTTTGATGGAAATCAGCGACACTTTAAATCTCATTGCCACCAACTGCAGCTGTAATGTTGCCACAAATGTGTATATACTCCAGAACCAAGGTAAGCAGTCATTGAAATCTGACTTGTGATTTCTATATATGGAGCAGGAATTGAGGTACCGCCTCTTATACAACTCTCAAAAGTGGGATGAGTGGTACCAGTGCCTCTCACTAAAACAGCCTGCAGATCCTCATTCTAGACTTGGGCAGAAAAAATGAAGACTACAAAATGCCAATTACAGCGTTTCCCTGCAGACCAAAGGCTCCGAGTTGTGAAGTACACACGGCAAGTGGTCACATGACCAGGGTAATTGAAGTCTTGCTCACTTCACTTTCTACGAATTGTCGTCATTGTCCTAGTGAACCATACAATGTGTACAGCAATGTGTGATGGAGACACAGCTATGGGAGGGATTGACGGACGACAGTGATCGCGCGGCGCATGCAGCCCGGTGTGGCGTGTGTTATTGTGGTAGCAGCCTTAATTGTAGCACAGGTTCCAGTCTGTATCAGCATCTCAATAATGTCCCACAGAAATCATATTACACATATTACAACATGTCACCTAGGCCAGAAAACACAGCATGACTGTGTGCGGAGCTGGCTCCTCGATAATGTTCCATGTAAATTACGATACACTTTAATTGATTCCTGGCAACCAACGTTTTGCCAACAGTGTATGGTATATAATGCCCTGACAACCCCGTAAACACAGATGATTTACGTCGCTATGGTAAAGTTGTATTAACAGGCACAACGGGAATAGAAATATTGAAAAGAAATTTCATACATTGATTAAAGATTTTAGATGCATGCATTATCAATAAATAGCAATACAATAATGGAATTGAGAACATTTGACTTGTCATACTGCAGTCAAGGCATTCTTTATAATTGTTGCGTGGGTTTTAACCAATCGGCCATTTTTTCGTTTTTTGAACATTCATCATGAGCCTATTGATTTTGTCCCTAACTAAGTAGACGAAACTCCTCTCGCTTCATTACACCATGTGTTGTTGACTGCGACACTTAACGTACCCCTAGTGTGGAGCTCCTGCAAGGCTCCATTAAAAATCCTTTATCATTCGTAACAAAAAAATAAAAATAAAAAATTATTAACAGAAAATGAAAATCTTTTTCTTTTCAGTAAGAACCATTTAATGAATTATTAACGCAATTATGTATGCAAGGCACAGCATCACACAGGACGATTTAAAGCTTAAGGCTGATGGGATTTGTCCTCTGCAGAAGTTGCAATTTTTGTTTGTTTTTTTATTTTGATCAGATGACCACGTTTTCTACAACAGTGCACCGATATTCGGGTCAAAATCCCACAGGAAAATATCAATCATCAAATGGGTCTATTATTCATAAGAGTCAACCTCTTTGTTGAAATAATTCGTCAAATGTCTATGACACACAAAGTTTCCTCACAGGCTTGCATGGATTCAGGAGCACTACGTATTTTTATTTTGTTGTGCTTCCCGTACGTTTGATGCACGATGACATCATCATTGTCGGGACAAGAGATAATGTTATTGGGCTGTTTCTAATGTCGCTCGGCCATCATTTCTGCTGAAACGTTTAAATCTAATTGCAGTTTGACATGAATTTTACCTGACCAGTCTCAACATCAAAACCGAAGCTCCTAATTAACTGATTCAGGTGCAAATCCAGGTACATTTTGCCACCAGTTTAGCTATTACCTTAATCATCACCAGAAAGTTATAGGCCCGCGGATTGGACAATGATGCCGGGAGTCTCGGGAACACAAGAAACACACAAAGGTATTAAAGGAAACAGTCGAAACCCTAAGATGACTTTGTCATGCGTTGCCGTCTTTGAGGTGGAATGACTAAATGTAAATGGTCACATGACAAGCACTCGTTATGATCTGGAGAAATCTTTTTGATCTCGTTTATTTCTACTGCGTATTTGAACAGCCAACCATTTTGGGCTTGAAAGTTTTACTTGTGGTGATTTTTCAGTGTGCTTGTGTTGATTTAGATGCAGATTCAATACACGCTGCAGTAGTAAACGTGTCGAGATTGATTATCGGTGCTAAGAAACCACAACCAACCCTAAACTTCATTTCTTTTAAATGACTGAAATAACTTCAAAAAGAGTTTATTGTTAAAAGACACTGCAGGAAATAAATTAGTGCATAAAATTTCACTGTGCAAATGTAGGCCAAATGAGGTCTAAAAATGTCGACAAGGTCTTCGAACCCTTACCGAAAAGTGTCAAATGTGATATATACCTCAAAGTAAATTCTTTTGAAAAAAAGCATTGACCAGATTTGCCTGTTATTGAAAAAGAAAAAGTAATTTAGCAAAATTGCAAGATATTGAGAGAAGTTGAAACATGACTCTGTCAGGCTCAGTGTGATCGAGTGGGTTTAATTTTGTCCCTTGCATTTTTTATTTTTTATCTCATTTCGAAGCTGGGTCAAATGCTCATTCCCTAGCTGGTGTATCATGATCCGTATGTAATATGTGGAACCCCAAGGCACTGCAATTTTAACGAAATTCTGACAGCTTAGGTAAATGTGTAGTCGCGCTGTCTCCAAATAACCCGTGTCCCTGATCCAATAGCAAACAGAGGTCCGTGTTACCCCACAGACAGACAAGCATCGCAGAGCTTCGTATATGTCAGGACATCCATTTTAATACAGATTTTTTTTTTTTAATGTCAGAAGTCTTGCTTGACAAATTAACAATGTATCCAAGCTCCTTCTATTGGGAAATTTTACATGTTCCGAGAAAAACGACTTAATCTTTATTGGTCAACTTGTCTAAAAGGATGCTGGTAGGGCATTTGTCACTCGGGGACAGATAGGGGAGGGGGAAGGGGTGATAATGGTAAGGGAGACAGAAATGGGGAGAGGGAGGCAAGAGAAAGGGGAAGGAACGGAGTATTTATAAAGAACGGCTTTTATTAAAAGCTCAATTACAGGCCCCACACAATCATTTGGCAGAACAATTGAATGTCTAATCTTCCTTAAACTCATTCATCCCTGAAGACACATTTGAACTCTTCCAAATCAAAGGTGGGAATAGTTAATTATGAAATGTTAGGGGTGTGTATGAGCTGAATTGTCTAAGATAGGTGATTACTACATTCTAACTGTAATTATAGTTATACGTATTACTATTAACCTTAAACCCCCCCCCCCCCCCTGTTAAGCCTAATATTTCTGGTGGAATTAAGCTATACTTCATTGAGCAGATGGTTCTTTTTAAAAAAGTTTAATTGGGATGGATTTTCTTTGTTTTTGAAATGAATGGGACCAAACCAAGATTATCTCTCTATCTTGAGTCCACTTTGTTGACTGAAACCTATGTGTATATAAAATTTATTGGAAGTGTATTGAGAGTCAACGGTTAAGCTATTATTCAATACATGGGAATGATTAAGTACGTGAATACCTGTCCAAATAATGTCGCCACAAACGCATAAACGCAGTGTTACAACAGTTCACAATGAGATATTGTTTTTTACAACAAAGAGAATTGAAAAGCCTAGCTGTCTGTGTTATCTTCAGCCATTTGCAATACATCTTCATTGTTTTTTCGTCTTTGATGTTTCGTTGAGGTGATCGTGTAATGTATTTTCCCTTTGCCTCGACATATGTGGCCGTCCAAGGTTCAGTGGTCGTGGAAGCTCACGAAATTTCTCCTTAAAACCGGTCCCACACTACAGTATTCTTATCAAACACTTTCCGTTAATTAAAAAAGCTTTATCGCATGGTAATGATTGGATTTGTCGTTGTTTACTGATAATTAATTGACCAGAAAAATGACTGTTACACTCCCCAGATAAGCCAGCAAGTATCTATTTATGATGTCAATAGAAGGTAGTGTTTCATTTTATAAGGCTTAAATGTTGTTTTTTATTAGCTCTACACAAAGGTCAACGAACTCCTAATGAGGTCAGCAACTCCACGCGATTCTTTTGTTATTGGGTGGTACTTGATTTTAACACAGATCACCGTAATTCTAGTTTTAATTCATCTTGATTCACTTTTAGCATGAATCTAGTTCAAACCTATTTTTTTCAGTTTTATGTTTTTATATAAGGGTCTCATATCTTCAAATTAAAACTAGATAAAAAGTTAATATTACCACAGCAACATGCAGGCCATTTCAGCCAAAAAATATTAAGAATATGACATCAATACAATGTCAGCTAGGAAACTTACAGGAACATTGTGTTAATGACATTTCATTATCAAAACTTTCCCGCGAATACATCGCAATCTCCATCTTTAAATCTCTAAATCCCTACTGTAGAATCATTTTAATGGGTTTTGACAGCCGTATAATTCTGAACATGGAAACATTGACGGTTTGTATCTCGGAATGTCATATTTGAATGGGATATTAGTAATGCCTTTATCCTGTAAATCAACGACTTTTGACCTTGTGGAAACAAAGCATGAATCCTCCAGAGGGGATTTTTTTCCCTCTTTTATAAACATATTTATCTTTTACTTTCACGCATGCCTCGCTAAATTTCCATGATCCACGTACAAACGATTCTCAGATTGTTATATATGTATGATGTGACAAAACAGTAAATATGTTTTGATTTCCCTGTACTCCTATACTCATAACAGAAACAGACGCAGGCCGGCCTTCAGAGGTCTCGGGAGGAAACTCACACAAATATGACGCAAACAAATGAGATTTACAGATCTAATTGGAAAGAATGTATAACTGTCAAACATTATCAGACAATGATTGACGACGTAGGATATATATATATACCCTATAATCTACCAGCTAATGGCGTAGGGATGCTATGGTATTTACTTAAAAAATCACAAATGTAACAGTCACACGGTGTCAAGCTAATGTATCCGTCTATTTTACACATTACGTACAGTGCCTCAACAGTATTCTCTTTTATTCCGGAGATTATCCCAGCGTTCAAGGCATTTCGTGGCAGCTGTGAGGCATCAGGACTCTGTTTGCCCTTACCAGTCACAGACCCCACAGAGTGACGGTGCATCGCCACCACACTTGATGATGATGATAATGTACCCCTACCGACTTACATATCTAGCCTGGTATGTTGTACATGTTATTGAGCCGATTGGTTCACGATATATACATACTGAGCGAGCCGAAAGCACCCTGCCTGGCATAAGTCAATACTGCTGGGAGTCGTCACATAATTACACAACCCTATAAGTTCATTTTCTTTAAAAAAATAATAAAAAAATACATTCCGTCATTCCCCAAACCAGCATTAAAGCAGAAAGAAATATTCCTGCATCAATATTCCTGCATTTCAAAAACATAAGCATAATACAAATCTATTTTAATTGTTTCAATTCCAAATTTCTGGAAAGATTTTTTTCTTTTTTACATTTTCCATAGTATATTGAACATGTTTGTGCTAGGTATTTTCCATACTGTCAGGAAAATTTACATAGAAATTGCTGTGGGAATTGAAATATTGGCTATATGTCAGCTTTAATAAGTCAAGCCGCTGTCAAGCCGACACCACAGCTTCTGAAGTATTTACTTCCATTGACCTCTGACCTCTACCTACTGGTGTCCTGGGTTTTGTCTCGTATGACCTACTTTTACATTGAAGACACTAATCAATCGCTGATGGATATCTAGAGCCTGACCTCAGCTACAGAACTTCACATTACGCCCAGGCTGTTATGTTTCACCATAAATTCAAAACTACACAAACATAACAGGTACTTGTGAGCAATGACAAATATTGACATGCTATATTGCTATAAGAACCCAAAATTTAAATAAGGAAAAAAAATGAAGAGTGTGTGACCTTAAAATATAAGCTCAGGTTTGCGTGTTTTATCACCTGTTTCATTGTCATAACAACAAACCTATTCATCAGATACCTCACTAAGAAATAAAAAATAGTAGCCACTACCCATTACTGTTAAGCTAATTAGATTGGACAACTTAATGTATAAAACATGGGCAGTCCTTTTCTATTCTATAACTCAATTCCTTCTTTCAGAACAAATAGATAATTGAAAACCAGATGACATGATATGGTAATAAAAAGTGACATGAAACCAACAATTTATCTGCAATAAAAATGGATCATAAAAAGATTGCTGAGTGGGAGCTGTCACACAATGTTAAGGGGAGGCCACTCTCATCAACGTTTCCATAATGATTTTTTTTGCAATACTGGAAATTTCTGTATTTTGTCATGCAAACTATAAAAGAGCTCTATAGACGTGATGGAACGGGGCAAACCTATTTGGTCCGAGGGGAGCTATGTATATCAAGCCAAGGTTTTACCCATCACGTAACAGTCTCCGCGACACACATGCAAGTACGCTCAGAATTGTATCAGATCTGACCGATGGGGTTGTCTCCCCTGACACATTGGTCAGCTTCACGACTTCCAGAGCTAATTCCCCATGACAACCGTGGCCTTATCACAGCTTTATCATTCTTCTATTGATATTTTATTGTATATCCTTCCCATCAATAAACAACTCTGCATGTCTCTACATTTTCATGTCAACTGTGACACTGGCGATAAGCGCAAAGCTTCACGCGAATGGTTCCTTTGTATATAACCTGCTGCAGTCTGTGAGGATGCAGGATGTCAAAGGCACATATGAGTATCACAATCTGACAGTTATATGCAAAACATCTACAGTGATAAGCTTTTTTTTTACACCCATTATAGTCAGTCAGAATATAAGCGAACCCAATGATCACGCGAGATCCGTTACTCTGATCAACTCGGCTCTCTCATCCATTTGCCCCGATAATGGCTCCTTACATCATCAATCAACAAGAAACTTATTTTTGGTCGAGCTTTGACGTTTAAAAAGTCTGCGAATCGAGGAGAATGAAACACTCTCAAAGAATGCCAATCCATCAAGCTCAATGGTCACTCCCATTTAAAGAACCGACGGTCCCATATCACTTTATTCAAGGTCATATTCTGACCCCTACCAATCGATAGACCAATCAAACTTATCTGAAAACTCATAGTGAAGAAGCCCAAAGACAGCACGATGACCGTAGCCTCACCTTGATATCTGAACTGTTTTATTATTGACGTACTTGTTAATTAGTAATTCAGATAAAAGTTTTTACCTGTACAGATGTCTGACCGTTGACAGGTATTTCATTGTTTATTGATACAGGTTTATAGATCTCGGAGAAGACAGTGCCAAATGCTAACAGTACAGTAATTAATCATTTTCAGGACCACACAAAAATTACAAGCAGCGTTTTTTCCTCACCGGGGATTGATAATTCAGTGCCAGCAACTATTGCGGTTGATAAATTTGTTCAAAGAAGCAAGGTATATGGGTTTAACGTCTTTCAAATAAATATTTAAAAACCCAATCATCCAAAAAAAAATTGTAGACTTTTCAAAGTGTAATTGATGTACCAGCTATCTCTTCCCTTCCCACATTGCTAGGGCACAGTAGCTATGATAACATATACAATCGGAGCAAAAACTGTCTAGTATATGTTTGATGGCAATAAACAGTTCTTCAAATCTCTGTGAATTGTTTGTTTATTGCGAATGAACACTGACCCTCTACAATAACAGATTTTCTTTACATTTATATGATATGTGTTCTGCATTATTGCTAAATCACGAGTCAAATTTAATATTTGTATTACTATGTTTTAACAGAATTTATTATTTATTACCATACCAGTTTTACTGTTGTTTTTGTTGAGGCAAACAGCAACCAGACAAAAAGAATCTTATACTGAAAGCAGCAAATATTTAGAAATCAATCTGTACATGTTGTTTTAGAAGTAACAGAAATATTTTAGAAACATAACACTTTCTGAAATCAAGATTAGATTTCTTACAAACATGTCTCTCTGTAAACAAATATCAGCAACCACAAAACTCACCTGTTGTCTTAGTGAAAACAAACAACAACAAACAAATATATCAAACTTACCTATTGTCTAAGTGGTTCATGTTTTGATTTTCTCCGTTTGAAAAGTGAGCTGGAACTGTATTGGAGCCAGGCGGGACCCACACCGCCTGTGGATCAACCATCTCTCCCGACCTTGACATTGGCACCGACCCTGACCTTGGCACTGTTCGAGGGAACCTGGGATGGCCGTCTGACAACAAAGGAAACACTGCGTCACAACAGATGACAAAAACCTACACAAGTCTGTTTCTGCACACAATGGTCAATGATTCATTGATTGAAAAAGTTTTGAATGTGAAAAAAGCCTTCTGTTCTGATTCATCTGCTCAAGACAGTTTTTACATTGAAGAAAATCTCAGTTGTTTGATCCATTAACTCGTTCACCCCTGAAATTTCATAATGAACTATTGAAACCATTAAATTGGAAGAGTTCAAAATGTGTTCTCAGGGGTGAATGAGTTAACTGAGAATTTTATATATAGCAGAAAAAATTTGCTGTTGATTCAATGGCTGACAGGACAGGTTTTACCTTACAGAAAAAAATATGTAATTCATTGAGGAAAAACCGTAAAACTTGAAGAAGTATGACTTGTGTGAATGACATTGGTGTTTTTTCTCTGTTAATGATGTAACAAGCTGGTTCTGATGTTAAAAATGTGACTTCTTGCTGCCTCATTAGTTCTGACAAGTAGACATGGAGTACGGACCAATTAACACCTTACGCTCCCGTTCCGATAAAACAGCAGACGGAAAAACCACTAAATGTTTCTTTCATGGAAGAAGGTGAGAACTTGAGAAGTCAAGAATCATACACATGTAGAACAATAGTTCATCGAAAAGGAATTCCAATAATGATAAGATTGATAAAATGAAATACCGTAATCACCCTTAATTGTACCCAATCTCTTTTAAGTGTCATCTATCCTTTTTCTGGTTTGAGCATCCCTATTCTTCGTTGTAACTTACAAACTTACTCAAACAAGAATAATAGTATTTAATTTGGTTATTTGAAAAGTTTTGAAGGTTCTGAAATTATTTCTGAAATTTTTAAGTATCCAGGGCATTTATTAGGTTCAATACAAAACTTATAAACAAGGCACTTGTTGACACTCTAGGGAAAATAACAGCATGTTAAAAATCATATAAAAAAAGGCTGGTTCTGTCTATAAATGGTTCGATTTATATACAAAATGTTCTCTTTGAAGAAATCTTCAAAATACTACATAGAGCTATCCAAACCCACGCCTCAGGTAATAGTACCGTTTGATAGTACCATCATCAAACGGTACCTGTTACCCGCACAACAGACTCGATCGCTAGTGTTAAGTCGTGCCACCTGATGTTAAAAAACTGTTCATAAGCACCTTTTGTACGCTCAAAGAGGCGAAATGATTAAGAAGTGGTTTATTTTCACCTTTATGATTTCCGGAGTCCGTGATGCAAGTTACATGAAAGTTAGGTGAATCTTCCCATTAAATGGCCATCGAGCCAATCTACTCTGATTAACACTGGCTAAATTTTGGCAAGACTGAATTGCAACCAACAGCCCCCAGACTTCTAGATATAACAAAGAACTGGCACTACACAACGCTATCAGAAAGGAAGTCATCTGCGAATACTTGGGAAACACTTTTTTATCTATATTTTCATCCCATTTCATAAAGGCCAGAAAAAAGATTGCGCCACACATGGCAATGGTAACTTGTGGAGTTTGAAAGATCCCCAGAGCATCGGACCAATTACTCGGCACATCAACAGATATCGTGTTTACATCATACCAACCGATTCAAGATGTTCCAGCGTAGAAGCGTAACTCTCACAGTGTGAAACCAGTACACTCACCAATAACATTCAAAGCATCACGAAAAAAAAATATGTATCAAATCAAATACTTTGTTTTTGATTCTACCAACAACCATACAGAAAAATGTGTTTGACATCTTAAAATAATAAAGAATGATAAAAAATACAAACAAAAAAGACCTTTAACTACCGAATGGACTGGATCGATACACACAATTTATAATCGTCGTTCAATCATACCTCGGATACGGTACTTGAGAACTAACTATACCCCTTGAACATATAAAAACATGATATAATTAATCCTCCTATCCAAAGTTGTGTTATTATGCAACCACAAACTGAGTTCAATATTTTCAAACATCTGATTCACTTCATTTTTTGTAAAGAGACCTGAGAACATTTGTTTACAAAAACTGATGTAGATGCGACCTATTGTCAGAAAATTCCTGTAAGGATAGAGAGCAACCCCCACCCTCTCCTCTGGTTGATCTCCGGTTGATCTCTGGCTAATCTTAGACTAACCAGACTAACATATCTCCCCTTTCATGTGTAGGTAAGATCCAATGATAAACCCTATTAAATTCTATTTCTATTTTCCCACACTTTTCTTTCTACATTGTTTTTATCGGTGTTTGTCTGATCATTATGATAGATTTCATTTCACTTTCTCTGAAAAAACATTCCCACAAAATTCTCATTTCTCTGAAAAACCATTCCCACATAGATCCGAAAAAATTAATGCTATCCAATGAAAGCAATTGCACTAAATTCCCAAATTTCTTCGATTTCTTCAAAACATGATTCCCAGTCATTTCATTTTTCTCTGAAATCAAATTTACAAAATATTTAAAAAATCTTCAACATTCCTTAAAAAATAATTTTCACCAAAAAGATGATGACGAAATAAGAAAGAAATCTCATTAAACGGAAAAAAGATATTCATGATTAAGACTTTAATCATTCAAATTCTTGATATTTAATTTGTGTAATTTATTGATAACATTTAATTATCTTCAATGTTCATTAATGAATGAATTTCTTAAGCACACCGTAATTCATGCGGGGGAATAATTAAGATATGGCACATAAATAACCTTAATCTCAGTTCCGATTGTGTTTTGAACTGGAGTTTTTCAATATTCCAATGTTCGACCGTACCTCAGCATAATGTCACAGATGGCAGAGGGGGAGTTTGGCTATAGATAACGGTAAAATATCACTTTTAAACACACAGATTAAAACGTGATAGGAGACAGAACAAAGACCTAAACAGTGCTTTATGGCTTCCCTAAGTTTTCATAAACAATTGTTAAATAAATTTGCCTCGATCAAAAAATGTCCTCACTACCCACGATAGGGAAAAATTTATGGCCGTAATTGTTCGCGGCACCTTGCATGAAATAGCAATCGTCAACCAATCAGAGACCTTTGTAGCTACACCAGGAAATTACAACAATCAACCTGTGATTGCAGCGATCCCACCGTCGCATATGTTGTGTAAAAAAGATACTAGGACTAATTGGCTAAGTATGGATGCTGATATAAAATGTTACCAATACCGAGGTGACAATGGCTGCGAGGGATTCATACAGACGTCGGGCGAAAGTATTGATGACGCAGCCAAAACAGTATAACGGGAAACGATCAGAAACAATTGTCCCATAATCTTCATGGAGTAGCCGCAAAATTTATGGCAGAAAGAAATGATTATCAAATTCATATCACTGCATAAATCAATGTTTGCCGAATAATTCACTTTGTTTCGTACGGAGGGCGATAATAGAAACCAATATCACACATCAAGCCTCTCATTGGCAGAATTGGGAGAAATCGGGAGAAATCTCCACCTCTGATTAAAGAATTCATTTTCACCCATATCATAGCGGCCATGACAGTCTTCTTGACTTTAAGGCGACCAGAACGCGATATTGGATGTGGATTAAAGGCGTGGCTTCTCCCGGCCATCTGGACCTAGTGAAGGGCTCACACCTTACTCGACCGATATATTCCAGTCTATACAGGTCGTAGCTGTCTAAGTGCATACCGTAAATACCCTTGTATGAAGACATTGATAATTATATCCCTAGTCATTGGTGGGTTCCGTAAATACACTTTAGTTAAGCCATTTCACCATATATCGTAAACATTCTTGTATGTAGATATTGATTATTGTCCATGAGTGTGTACCCTAAATATATTTCAAGCCATATCACCATACCGTAAATACCCTCGGACAATAAAAGTATAGTTTTATATTTGAACATATTTCTACCAATCTCCAATCCTCAATTTCAAAGATAACATTTATATTTATTCACAAATAGTTTTGGGATTATTTTTCATAACATTTCCTTTAATTAAGTAGAATAAAGCATTTTCCAGCAGATTACACACTTACCTTTACTAAAACTTTGTGGAAAACAATAAGATCAAAAAGTGATAACTGAATGATGTGTTTACCTGGTATAAATACATTTCCTGATGCAGTTTGTTCTAAGTAATGTGGCTCAAAATCGCTTTCTCCTTCCGAATATGCACACTGCCGTACCCGTGCGGGGTTGTCCGGGTCAGAGTAATGTCCCCTTTGTTGCATGGCCGCTATATGCGACTCTGCGTAATGTCTACTACACAAACACGTTTCGGCATCAGAGTAGTTTCCCCTGTGTGACGGACCGAAAGACCTCTGTCGAGTCACACACATCGGCGTCCTCTGTGGAATGTCTTCTATGGGTGGAGGTGGTGGGGGGTTGGGCAGACAGGGAGGCAACATGGGCGCTGTTGCTGTAAAAGAAAACGATTTAGAAATAAATACCCAAGCGACAACAACATGATGTCTCATTAACGAATGAAAGCAAAAAATAAAAAAATAAAACGTAAAATTAATAAACGACAAAGCATTTTACTTGAATTTATAGATTGACTAGAAGGACAAGAAGTTAAACATCCTGAAATGATTTTTTTTAACAGGTAAAAGATTCATCATGCATTCCATATAAGGACCAACACTGATCACAATAACTCCACCCATTTATAACCATCTTATGTCAATCTCTTATACATTTGTATTAATGGTAAAAAGAAACCAACAAATAAATGACAATCTGTGAAAAAATAATTTTACACATGGTAAACAATAAAAAACACGAAATGCATATCTATTTTTTGACAATTTTTATGGAATATCCAACTGTTTATATTTCAATAGTTGAGCATCTTACCTACAACTCTTAAAAATCATTTAGTCATGATCTATGCAAGATCAATTACTCAGAATTGGTTGAATTTATTTATATGTTGACATATAATTTGTACATTAAAACTGACAACCTTTACAATCCAGAACCTGTCTATGAAGATGTTAATCAAGACCTTTCATCTTTGGATTCTTTTGAATAAACTATACAAATGAAACGGTTTTTTCTGGAAACAAGCCATTCGGTTTGATAAGAATGGCTTAATATATGTCTTGCCTGTGTCCCGCTTTGACCATCAATGCACATATATAAGTTTTGTTGGTGTAGCACTTAAAGTTTCAGAGAAACTAACTTATACGCAAAAACTTAATGTTGACGCCGCCGTTACCGGAAAAAACCCAACACCTTAGTCTCGCTTCGTGGTGGCAGGACAAAAACCAACTGGTTCTGTCAAAATGAATCTAAATTATAGTCTTTAAGATTTAACAAATATTGATATCTGTTGTACATTCATAAACACCCGTCCACTTGTTCATGAGTGGTAAGGTTGATATAGTTCCATGTAAAGTGCTCTCCGATCTGTCTTTATGACAATTATCTTATATTTGTCTAAAAGCATAAATTTAGGTCTCCGTCACTCAAACCTTGACAAGTAACTTCAACTGTCTAACCAAACTTTACAGCTGTTTCATTGCAAATGTGTGCTTTTTCATATCCCAACTGACCAAAAGATGGCCACTTCCCAAAAAACCTGAAATACCCCGTTCCCAGAAGACCCGTGGTGATGGATTGGCTGATATGGTATTCAACATTACCCCATTCTCTACAATCCTGCACTATCTGTCATTTTCTTTGACACATACGCTCTGGTGATGAAGCACATGTCCTTAAGTTGTCTGCAAATCTCTATTTCCTTTTATTGTTTTAGATATCCATAATCTACAGTGCCGCAGAAATAGATGAATTCTGAATACATAGGCTGAAATCATGTATACAGCATGATATAATAAGTAAGACCTATAAATTAGAAGATTTGTGGCATTTCTCTAAGTGTTTTCTTTTTTTTGACTTTTTATTTTCCAGAATTGTTGGCTTGGGACAGACCAAAAAGGGTAATAGCCTAAACCTCTCACAAAAAAAAAAAAATCAAAAAATATAGAAGCAACTCTTATATATAAATTTGAAAAGAAACACTCTAGCCGAAAAAGTTTGGCCACAATGCGGTTATGGAAATAATTCTCCCAACAGGCATCCTATACTTACTGCTCATTCCTCAGAACAAAGTTTTTATTGATATGAGGGTGAATTATTCAATATCGTAAGTCTGGGTTGAAACACTCAATTGGTAAATATATAAACCATTCTAATTTACAATCTGTGAAGATCAATGTGAGATATATGTATATGGTTTTTCCTGAACAGTGGGTTAACAGAATGATTCACATTCAATATCGGTGTGTATGTATACATACACAGAGACGGAAGTGTTGATATAAACACAATGCTCTTTAACCAACTGCAATAAATAACCCGATACACTTTCAATATTTTACCATTTCTTATTACCGTGGCGATAGAGATGTCTACACCTAGAGGGTTATCTAGCTTCTCTAGCACCGTGAAGTTCTCTTACGATAAAACTGCGACTTAAATCAATCAAGTCGTGGCCATATTAAATCAAGCTAGATTCACGACTGGAAGCCCTGCACACCGCGATGTTTAATTTCTGCAGCTTGCCACCGTTTGTTGTTCCAGGGTTACCAGACGAAGATTCACGACAAATGTATCGTCCTTGTCTGTCCTCCTGTCTGAGCCACTTCAATGAATATTTATTTTTAAAACAATGAATATTCATTAGTCAAAACATTGCGAATCCCCTCTAGTTTTCACTCAAATACACGGTCAAAAGTCTGGTTTGGTTTTATTTGTGTTTTATATTCTATTAACAGCTATGGTCATTTAAGGACGTGTCAGGTTTTGGTGGTCGAGGAACGCTGGAGTTCCTGGAGAACAAACCACCGACCTACAGCCAGTACCTGGCGACTGCTCCACGTAGGCCTCGAACCCGCGACCCAGTGGTGGAGGGCTAGAGGTAGCAGAATGTCAGACGCCTTAACCACTTGGCCACCACGGCCCCTTTGGTCAAAAGGCAAATTCATTTGTCATTGCTGGTTTGCTAGTATAGAAGCAACAAGGTCAAAACCAAGCTTGCCTGGTTACAAGCAAGCATAGTCACAGGTCATGTTGCTAGTAGTGCTAGGTAAGAACCAACTTATTCACCCCTGAAGACACATTTGAACTTTTCCAATTCAAAGGTTGGAATAGTTCATTCTGAAATTTCAGGAGCGAATGAGTTAAGCTGTAAAGAAGAAACAGCCAAAGTGAAAGACAAGCTTGAAAGATCTGAAGTAAGAACATAGGGGAACTTGCTATGTAAGGAGCAAACATTAGTTCATAACACAGTAAAATATTACAAGGTTCCTGAGAGCCAATATGTTTATTTAACATTGCAAAGTTGTGAGTTCTGAAACTAAAAGAACTTTCACTTGACATCACAGATGTTTGCATGTGATTAGAAGATAAACGAGGTAATTTCTATGACAGTGAAAACTAGAATGTAGTTTGACATACAATAAAAAGACAATAGCACGGAACAAAGTCAGTAACAATTCAAATATTATCTGTATCTTTTAAGTCTCAAACTCCCTTCAGTAGACCAGGTTGACCAACCAGTAAGCATTTGATATAATATCACTGATATTGACGGACACAAATCCATCCTCTTATTCTCCGTTGACCTGTCTTGAACTTTGTCCTGTGGCATGCATCAAGCAGGTTTGAGAATTTGACCCGTAACAAGCAGGTTCAAGCTTTACTTCGTTGATGACCGTCACTCTAGAAATGAGCACCGTGGAGCCTATCGCCGCCCTATCAACGTTAGGTATGGCCGAGCACAGACACCCAGTCTGAGGATTATCAGATAGAGGTCTCTCCATGACAGAGTTCCGCACCATATAATACATCATCCCGTAGTAATAGGATGGTAAATTTCAATTATTCTGCCAAATAGGAACATTTGTATTCTGTTGGTTATTGATAAATATGTATCAGGACATATGGTAGATAAACCACCAATGACTCAATAAACGCTGAATCCCTCCGAATTATCAGCTGAAGACAGGAGCTGGCCATTTCCTCAGACTGTCAGTCTCCGACACAGACCGACGATCGGGGATATTAATGGAATACACCCAAATATGGACAATGGTTCTGTCCACAGTCGATCGAGAAAGAATAGAAACTCTACTGTTTTGTTGAAGACACCCAATTATCTAATGAAATTATCTCAAGAAAAACAAAAAAGATTGTCCAAGTAATAACAGCGTGACATGAAAAGTAATTTAGATAAAATCCCCTCTCCTGTCTACTGAAGGAAGACTTTTACATATCCGAGTTATCAACATGGACTGGTTGACTTTCCGCGGCTTATGGCTGTCAGGAAATAGAACGGTTTATACACCGATAACATTACTTTTCCGCTGCTGCACATTACGAGAGTTTAGCCTTTCTTGACTGCGTTTTATGAAATTGCTTTTCTCCATTTGAAGTCAATAATGTCTATATCAGATCTTGAAGTCTATGCTATGTAAAAGCACAGTGGGTGATTTCCAAAGGGACCTGGATGTATTTAGTGTTCGTGGTAAAGGCCATGGTTATAAAACAAAGAACAATTCCATCATTTATGGGTGCACAGTCTGTACTCATAGTGAAATAACATCAAATTCCAGTGAAATTGCAAAGGAAAGAAGAATTGCAGAGCTTACCGATGGAAATGAATCAGAAAACTACCAAACAATAACAGGGCTAGGGTATTGGATGTGAAACACCCTCAAACCATTGGCAATATACTCTCTAACCATACAGCTAAACATTTTATTATTAGATATATATATATCTAGGCCTCATTTTGATACACCAGCTATCAGTTAGAGATACCCTCTAACAAATAATAACAGGGCTAGGGTATTGCATGTGAAACACCCTGAAACCATTGGCAATATACTCTCTAACGAAATTAAGATAGCCTCATTTTGATTTACCAGCTATCAGTGAGGGATATCCTCTAACAAATCTGGCAAGCTTCTTACCATGACACATGTTGTTTGCATGGAGAATTTCTATCTGAAGCTATTCTGTTTGGCGATATTTTCTTTCCCAGCATAGTGTTACTTTCTAACCACTAGCTGCTATTATTTAGCGATACCCTCCAACCATAGCTAGTATTAAGTGATATACTCGAAACTGAACCATTGTCATTTGGTGAATACCCTCAAACCATAGCTAGTATTAGTATTATCTAGTGATACTCAAAACTTTACTATCGTTATTTAGTAAATATACCCTCTTACCTTGGCCAGTATTATTAAGTGATACTCTAAACTTAACTATCGTTATTTATCGATACCCTCTAACCTTAGCTAATATTATCTAGTGATACTCTAAACTTAACTATCATTATTTGGTGAATACCCTCAAACCATAGCTAGTATTAGTATTATCTAGTGATACTCAAAACTTTACTATCGT